GTGTGAGCGTTTTAGGCACTCGTGGGAGTATTTTCCCAATATTTTCCTGGTTTTCCTCATGATCATCCTGCAGTCTGTATAATCCTTTTTCTAGCCATGCACACACACACACACACACACACACACACACACACACACACACACACACACACACAACTTAACCACTCACTTCCTACCTGTGCTCATATCAGCTGCCCTAATATCTTTCCTTTATGTTGCCCTGTTTCCCTTTTACTCCCATATCTATCCCTCTCTTCTTTCCCTCCTCCTCCCTTCCCTTATTCTCTTAATCTCTTCTCAAAACCGCCTCATCTCCTTCCCTCCTCCTCTCTTGTAACTTATTCTATGTCTCCTCCTCTGACAATTCTCGGCCATCTCCTTCCCCATCCCTAGCTTCGTTTTAACCTTTTTCCCCTCCTGCTCACAAATACCCTCTACCTTTGTCCCAAATATTTCTCTGCTTCTCTTGATTTCCTCCCACATTTTTTGTCTTCTTATCTCCTCTCTCTCTCTCTCTCTCTCTCTCTCTCTCTCTCTCTCTCTCTCTCTCTCTCTCTCGCTCTCTCCTTCCTTCCTCTCACCTATCAGGGAGGGCAGGCCAGACTTTTGTCTCAAGGTGACTCAGAGCATCTGGAGCCGTTGCCACGATACGTGAAGCAATTTATTCGCAGGCGGGAGGTGTGAGGAGACTGGACTCCGGCCCTCTGGTGACTCCAGACGTTGTGGCCGACAACCCTGTCAAGGTTGCTGCTTGTTGTTTTTATATATATGTATACAGTATATATACATTATATATACTGTATATATACACGTACATATTAACAGCAACTGTGTGCTTTAAAATCAATCACTTTTTGACACTAATCTTATTTCAAAAGAGTAATAAACAAAATAAGCAGATGCATGCGTTGGATGAAAGAGTTAAATATCCCTAGTGGAAAATTATGAAGTGACGAGTGTCTGTGTGTGTGCGTGAGTGAATAAATGAATAATGTTTTAGCTTAGAGGGTGGTCCTTAAAGACTCTTGTGTCCTCCTGACATGAATATTAAATCCCCATGATGATAAAGGTGCCTAATTGTTCTTCATCTCTGCATTTGCTTCCCTCCTCCTTCATCTTTGTCTCAGTTTGAGATTTTATATTTCAAGTATGTTTGTCATTGAGGATGTATATGTGAGAGAGATTATTTGAATGTGTGCATTATGTTTATATTAGTGTGAGTTCTGCTGTTAAAGTGTCAGTCCCTGTGTGTGATGTCTGCAGCCTGTCCCAGGTGCTCCATTGATGTTGTCATATGCACGACTCACATCTTTCATCATTTGGCAAGACAGGCCCTTCATCAATCCTGATGCAACCACTACACACTTGTAGCCTCAACACACACACACACACACACACACACACACACACACACACACACACACACACACACACACATATGCACACACTGTGATCTGTCCAGGCATCCAGGTATTTGATGATTGCAGTGAATTCTGATCAATGTGTTCTTGTTAAAGCACCAAAATTATATACACACACTATGAAACCCAAATTACCTGCTAGTTATTTGCCTGCGATACTACCAGTGTTTATTTGTACACATATCATCAAATGTTACAACTGTAACAACACAAAGTATAACTTTGTGTTTAGTAAAGACACAAAGTTATAAAGAATTACTTTAGTTTAACAGGTTAATTCAACTACTGTACAAATTAAAACTCTGACTTGATGCTAGATAGAAAGTCATCAAAGTGATCGTGAGGGGGACAGAAATGTCTGTATCAAATTTCCTGGTAATTCATCCAATAGTTGTTGGCTAATGAATGGTGGCACTAGGGGAAAAGTCAGGGGATCAAAGCAATTAAGATGCATCTTCTGGGGTCCATGCATGTCAGTACCAAATTTCATGGCAATCCATCCAACATTTGTTAAGATATTTCCGCTCTAGATCAAAAGTGATGTGTCGACCAACAGACCTACATTACCGTGTATGTAGTACAGCTACAAAAACATGATTTCACAACCATAATTAAATTCCAAACAGAAGAACTGTGCATGGATTAAAAACTGGCAGCTGCACAGTCATAAAACAGTTAAATGTGACACTTGGAGATAGAGCCACAGCTGGCCTTATAGTATAGGAAGTGTTTACAGTCTGATGGCTGTCGAAATGAATGACTTCCTATTCTCCCCTGGAGCGACATGGATAAGCTCTTCTGGATGATTAGCGTGTAATGGAGGGGTGAAATGTACAGTTCATAAAACGCCGGTTTGAATAGTATCCTCTTCCTTGTGCCATCTGGATTATGTGTGTTGTCAGTGTAACAATGAAACATTTATTTTGAACATGCAAAATGCCACTGTCCACATTTGGTAATGCTTTAGATTACAGTTACTGTGAAAATATTTTTGCCCAGATGGGCTACAAAGGAAATGCATACTGGGTAAGTGAAGACATGTAGGAAACAAGGGGGTAAAAAAAGACCTAGAACTTAACTATTAGAGAATGGACTTAGCCTATGTGCCCTTTCATATTAATCATCAAAAGTAAAACATGTGGCACTTAAAACACACTTTATAATAAACTTTAATATCCCCTCTATGTATAATTACATTGAACAACGGAACATTTACACCAAGTGTTTAATCATCTTTATAAAACATAACCATAACCTAAATATATATATGTATCTGTATATACATATGACCACTGACAGGTGAAGTGAATCATAATGTTATGGCTGATCGGTGAATGTGTGTGTATATATATATATATATATATATATATATATATATGTGTGTGTGTGTGTGTGTGTGTGTGTGTGTACATTCATCTTCCCTTATTAAAACTATCTTAGAAATACAAAGTACTCCATTTAAACTTTTAAACCTTTAACACTGAAATCTCCCAAACTCACTTTTTTACCCCATTGTTCCTGCCCGGTTTGTTTCTCTTAATTATTAAACAGGTATTCAGTAATGTAAGTAAGTCAAAACTCTGCTAAACACAAAATTGCTAGCCCCTTATTCCGTAACCTTTTATCGTCTTCTCTTGTACTTCCATACACAGTAGGTGCCCAAAAAGTATTTCGTTAATTCCCTGTAAACACTAAATGATGGGCTGTAATTTACAGTTACACATATTTGGTCAGACAGCTTGGTGAATCCAACAGTGGATAAAAATCTTGACAGTTGATGCAACGGTACTTTTTTTTCCTTCTCCTGCAGGATTTTTCTTGATAGGAGTTCACTCAATGTTTAATTAATGAACTAATTAACTACTCTATTACTATCTGTTTTACCAACTCCTAAGTGCTCAAGAGGACGAACACCTACCAAAATTAAACAATTAATTAAAAAAATGTGCACTAATAAGCGTTATTAAAATAGAAGCAATCTCATTTTCTGATGAAAGAGTTCAGCTCTAATCTTTAATATACTGTGAGAGAGTACAATGAAATTGGACATTTGAGTAAAAGAGGGTTATTTTGGAAAATAATTTGTTCCAAAAATAAAAAAGTTGGGTTTAACATCACTTTTATTTACTCTTGTAAACATGAGTTTGTCATATTCAATTGTACCTCCCTATAAATAGCAGGTTTAAAAACATTCAGAACAGTTTCATTTGATCATTCGTTTAGTCTTTGTTCCTTAACACTAAAAACACAAAATGCCAATGATGATGACCCATTTAACTAGATAAAAAATAGCTTTGCAATACAGAAGGAGACAGCTCCTTCGTACTATGCTTCCCTTCCTTTTATACTATCAGATATTTGTACAAAAAAAGATCAAATCTACCTGTACCTTCCTTAATCCAGGCTTTATGTTAGGCCAAAAAGCATGTCTTAATTACATAATTATCATGGCATGTTGAGCCTCTTTCTGCTCTTCAGGGATGAAAAGAAGCCCAATTACCTTGGACCCTAAAAATATGGGATCTGTAGCAGAGCGGAGGATTAAATCAATATTACGGTCCAATCTAAAGCAATGCTCCAGTAACAAAGCAGAGAGTAATGGAAAAATCAAAGCGCTCAATGTTTGGACTCTCCAACATTACTCATCTGGCCTCCTGAATGGAGTCTTATCTCGTCATGACAACAGCGTAGAGAGAGAGTAATTGCCATGGCAACAGGTCACCTTGAGTTGGAGTAGCTTATCGTTACCTAAGTTAGCGTCAGGCGAGCGCTGCTGGAGATTTTAAGAAGTGTCATGCCACGCTGTCAGGCCTGACAGAAACCATGTCCACAGTTCAAACGTTTGACAGTAGATTTGAAGTTGAAGAATAACATCATTGCCACTTGATGCAGTCTCTTTTCTGCTGTGTATTTGTGTCAGTCACCAGCTGACATGTGACCCAAACACCAGAAGGATATTCCTCCAGGATGCTGCAGCAGATGACTGACCTCCATATGACAAGATCAGAGGAGGCTTTGATCGGAGACCAGATCATCATCTTCATCTCCTGTGCTGCCATTTTTTCCCTTTCTACCTCCTCTTTTTCCTCCTCTGTTTACGCCTCAAAAGAAACATTAAGAGTGGGAAATACCCTGTCTTGTCGAGAATTGAGGAGAGATGAGGAGATCGATGCTGCTCTCAAATCTGTTTGGTGAATATAACAAAACACACCTACCACCACCTTGAAAGCTCACTACATTATATCTATGTAACACATTATATTATATTATTTATACACCTCTGTTTTTGAACAAATGAAAGATATAGCGTGTCAATTACTGAGCTTTAGAGGTGCTGGTAGGCAGATTTTGTTACCTTTGGACACAGCAAACATTTTTCCCATTTCCAATCTTTACGCTAGGCTGAGCTAACTGGAAAACTTCACACTTTCTCATCTAACTCCCAGTGAGAAAGCAAATACATCTATTTTCCAAACTATTACTTCAAGACTGGCATTTGTCCATTAGAATACAATTCCCCTCTACAAAATAGACACGGACAGAAAGAAAAAGACTCTACAAAGAAGAGGCACACATGTATGTTCATCCAAAAAGGCTCTTTAATTGGTCTAAGTGATTAATTACAGGGTGAGGGAGCCAGGTAATATAGATACTAGAATAGCTTTCAATTACCTCATTTAAATTTGATCATTTAACAGTTAGAGGGGATGGGAAAAGAGGGATGATGAGGGAATATAAAAGAGTGGAATAGAGAAAGTGATGAAAATCTTAATATAGGCCAACTGATAGAGTTAACACAGTAATAACAAATATTTCAGTAAATTGGCAACAGCTTTACAAAAAGAAAAACAAAGAATGTGCCAGAAGTGTGAATAGAAAATTTTAAGTGACTATAAATTCCTATCATATGTAGAATACATGTTTATGACACTAACCAGCCTCAAATAACACATTTTATCTATATCGATATAGTATTTAGATGCTGAATTTATTTATTGTGAGGCCCTGTGTGATGTTGTGCTGTACTGTAGCCTCATACTGAGACCCAGTGAGGAACAAGAATCCATAGTTTAAGACACCTAGTGCTGGTCAGTGCTGTCCCAATACTTTCATCATTGCAGATTGTGTTCATATGGACTGCTTTCAAAAAGTCTCTGCTTCCTCTGACTCATCACTAAATGAAGACTTGAAGGGTTTAGCTCCAAAAAATTATAAATCTTTGAAGAAGTTACCTGAAATTCATTAACAGATGTCTCAAAATGATTATTTCATTCTAGAAAACTGCTGCTCTTCTGTGTCTGGAGTCAAAATGTTTTAATATTGAATGTCTTATTTTGGAATTAAACTCTTCATGTGTACGTCGCAGCTGTCTTCACCAATCTTGCTACAGTGGCTGCTTGTTTTTTGGTGGCTGTATTTAAAGAGACAATCCCTTATTCCTCTACTATTTCTCCCCAGCTGTAAACGGTTCATCTACTTGACGACACCCAAGACTGAATCCCAACCATCCACAATAAAATATACACAACACACATACAGCATGAAAACTCTGGTTATAGTTTAACCATGCGCCAACACCGTGGACTGTTGTAAATCTGAGTGCACATCGAAGCACAGAAAACACACAAGCGTTGTCGTAGGAAAGTAGCAAGTGAGCAAAACCTGCCAATTCCAGCTTTCCAGAACTTTCTTGAGGATAAATTGGTAACAGTGCAGTCTTTTTATCTTACTGTAGTGTACATCAAATAAGTCCTAAAGATCTGTAAAATTTGCAGACCCAAACTTCTATTCTTTACCACACAAAGTCACATAGAAAATCCACAATTACCTCAAGTCATAACGTTTCCCTCTTACATTAATCTAACCACTACTCCCTCTCTACAGTCTTGTCCTTTGTTACTCCTCTGTGTCCATCTTATGAGGTCGATATGGTTTCTCATCAGACCTCAGACTCCAGACTGGACACCCGTCGCCAGGGACGAAGTACGCAGGGGCTCCCCATGGGTTGACCCCCTGCTCCCTGACCTACCTTGGCCTCTGATCCAGTCTGGGATCCCTGATAAACCCCATAGGCCCCATACACGCTATCCTGGTACAGCAGAGCCCGCTGGCTTCCACATCTCCCGCCCCCACAAGCCAACAGCTGGCACACTGGGCTGGGGCTCGGGTGGCTGCTGGAGGCCTGGCTGTGCTGTTGCAGGTCTAGGGGGCCGTGGTAGAGGGGTAGTCCAGGGTATGAGTTCAGGTAGTGGGCGTATTGTCTGCTGAGCAAACTGGTAGCTCTCCGTACCATCCCCCGCCCTAACCCAGTCCCGTGTCGCACTGCTTCTCCGTATGTGGGGAGGTGGGCCGAGTGGGAGTAACGCAGCCTCTGGCCCTTACGCCCCAGGGGCCTCCTCTGGTCCTCCCTTATGTGGAGGTAGGCCTGGTTCCGTGGGAGGCACAGGTTGTTTCGAAGGTGGGAAGGGTTGTAGGCCTTTGCAGGTGTGGTTGGTGTAAGTATGCATGGGAACAGGTCTGGCAGGGTGGAAGGTGATTGGCTGGACAAGGATGACTGGGATTCGTCAAGCTGGCGCATCTGCTCGCTGCCCCAAGTCGCTTTAAGGAAAGAGGGGCGGCGGTGCCTGCGTCTACCTCTCAGCATGAGGTCCTCTGGGGGCCAGGAGCTGTAGTTCTCTACCCGAGGACACATCACCTCCCCTGAGTAGATGCTGTCGACGCTGGGGGAGATGTGGTTGTCTTGGAGGTGGTTGGCTTTGAGCTCACTCAGACAGACGGGACTCTTGTCACTCTTTTCCTGGTCCCTGTGTTTTCTCCTCTCTACATCCCCATCCTCACACTGGAAACTCTTGGACCTTCGTTTCCGCCTGGAAAAGCCTGCTTGGACGTGCTGGTTTTGAGGCGAGGAGACCGGGTGAGAAGTGTAGATGTCAGGTAGTTGGAGATCGGCGTAGGGGATGAAGGGCGAGTGAGGATGGGTGTCAACGTAGAGTCTCCCAGTGGTCTGGTAGTGGTGCGGGTGCTGATGAGGGAGCGGCTCACCCACGGCCAGGTGGGGGCTGCTGAGGCTAGACACAGGAAGTGGCCGGTCATACAGACACGAAGAAGAGTGAGTTGGTAGTGTGTAGCGCAGTGGCGTTGGCCTGGTCACACCCCTCTGCTGTTTCAGAGAGGTAACAGCGGCCAGAGGCGGGGTTATGGAGCGCTGGGGCAGTGAGCAGTGATTCTCCGTAACGTAAGCAAATCCTCCTGGCACAGCCTCTGTAGCGACTTGTGGAATACGAACAGGCAAGCTGCCACCGTGACGACTCAGCTGCTCTATGGTCTTGGTGGCGTTGTCCAGAGAGGTCTCAACATTGGCAGTGGAGACCAGGTCTTTGGCAGTGCGAAGCATCTTTAGCATGTTTGCTTGAGCGTAGTTGGAGGTCAGGTCAGGTTTAGCAAAGCCAGATGAGCGGCCAGTATCCTCCACTCCATTGAAACAACTGTAAATACCCTGAGAGAAGAAAGATAATGACAAAGAATGAAAAAGATAAAGAAAGAATGAAGAGAGAAGAAGAATGGTAAAACAGACAGGGGGAAGAGGAGTAGAGTATAAATCGCCTAATCACTTGTAATTAAATCAACAGTCAGCCATAAACTGTTTAACCTTGAATCAACCTAGCGGTCTTAAGGGGACAATTTCAAAGACGGGATTTCAACCAATTTGTGCATCTCAAAGTGACAATCCACCTCCTAACTAATAAAAACCCCACTGGCAGTAAAATAAAAAACTGATTTCATTAATATCTCATTTTATCACTGAGGCAAGACTTAGTCACAAATTCATTATGCATTCTCCCGGGACTCAAAGAAAAACAGTTTAAGCTGAGAGGATTGCCCCAATAAATGCACACGGACACACACGCCTAAAGTCCCCTGCAGAACAAACCGTCTCTAACTGCATGGACAAACACAGCCAAATCCCATGATTGCTCTCTGCTTACAGTTGGCTGAGAGATCCTGAAAGAGCCAAATTTAATTTGGCCCTTGGGGCCGCCCCATACGGATTAATGATCAGATAGTCATTTAGCCGTTAATCTGATAAAACCCGGATCCAGGCACAATGGTGTAATTACACGGCAGAGGAGCACAGAGGCTGGAGTCCGTAGACATTTCCTTGGCTGTAACTTCAGCCAGAGCTTTTTGCCTCAATAACCACATTCTCAAACAACGGCATCAACAAACTGGGAACTGATTTAGGCTAATTGCAAATGAACATTAAGCAATCAAAGTTAAATGCTGAGTAAACACCAGAATTAGCGCTGCTTTTTCTCTCCCCTCCCTTCTCATTCTTAATAAGAATGCAGTGGCATTTTCGCAAATATTTTAACAAGGCCCTCCAATGATACCGTATAATTACATGCAAATAAACATTTGCACTAATTTATCACCACATAAAAAGCCACTTCATGTCAAACAGCATATTAGACTAAAAAAGCAAGCAACCGACCACTTAGAGTCAAAATAATCAACCAGCCAATCTTTCAATCACTCAACCAAGCTGGTACTCAGCTAATCCAATTACACCCAGCCAATCAGTCACTAAACTAAATAATCACTGTAAAAAATCAGTGAAGCAATTTCTCTGCCCTACTTCCATAAACCAAGTAATCAGCAATCAAACAACCAACTGAGGATCCATAAACAACAAGCAAACCAGCTTCCTAAAAAACAACTAATCAATCAACTAATTTGCAAATCTCACCCTGCTGATGGCCAACATGAAGTCAAGTTTGTGAGACTTGTGGAGCGAGTGTCGTAGTTTCCAGTAAAGCAGGTGTTCCCAAGCGAAGACCAGCAAGCTAAGGCCCATGGCCACGAGCAGCATGTAGAAGACGCCCGCCATGTTGTCGATGTCCAGCTTGCTGCTCATCACTTCGTTCTTCTCGTTCTGGCAGATGCCCGACAACCACACAGTCTCCAAGCGCTGGGTGTCGCCTGGAGGGACGGAGGTTTATGGGAGTAGGGGGAGGAAAGAGAGAGAGTATGAGATGACTTGACAGAGTGAAGAAGAGAAAGAAATATGATAGCTTACAATAACCTGAACATAACCATTAATGTATATCTTCTTGGATGTGATACACAGTGCAGTCTTAGGATGGTTACACATTTTTGTTATTTTAGCTCCGTACTGGCCACGACATTGGATTTGAAACGTTCATTATAAAGTTAAAACGATGACTATGGACTTAGATAAAGTTCTGATATTTGGTGCCAAAGATACCGTGTTAATGTCCCATCGGAGTTGATTTCCAGTTTACAACTTGTACCTTTCATGTCAGCCTCCAAGTCATAATTATGACTGTGAAACTCTGATATAACTAACTTAAATAACACAGAGGGGTCTGAAAAATAAAAGCAAAATTAATACTTCATGTCAGCCACAGTCTGTTATTATATAGTATAGCATATAATCTACCTTCCACAACCAATACTGTATTCATACAACATCAATACCTTACATACCAGATGACGTAATATGTGACTAGTCTGTTCTAAGTCTGTGACACACATGACCTAGCGGATTGAGGTCAGGTGACAGACTCGGCCAGTGATTGGTCCTTATTTCCTTGTTTGTATATTTATGCTTAATTTTCCTAAAATTGGGGGAATATGTACAAAATGGGCTACAAGTCATACATTCTAAATATGACCAAACGAATGCTGAAAGCCAGCACTTAAAACACTTATAATGATCCATTCAAATGAATCCCAAGGTTTCCAAAGACCCAATATGTCAGGCTGACGTTTGGGAACATATAACATGTGATCAGATGGTGCAGCATCCAAAATATGGGGGTCTTGGCTTGTTTTTATACACATATTCGCAAAGATATATCCCTCTGTGGTGTAAATGCATTTCAGCATGCCAACAAAGCACCTTTTGAACAAGAAGAATTTACAGTGCTTAAATGCATCTCCATTAGCTATGATTACTGCATAAGCCTCTCCCCCAGGTCTCTGAACAGGTGGCCTCCTCTTGAGCTGCGTTCTCCCCAGTGGCCTCCAGGGAGCACGGCCCATTTTATCACTCAGTTACCGTATGCTGACCACAAACGCACTATTTATTACATCATCATGGAAAGCTCAGTGAGCGCGCGAGTGTGTGTGTGTGGGGTGCTCTTAAGCTCTCAGAGGAGGGAGGATATTAACTCCACACCGGCGGGCCGTCATGGTGAGTGTGTTTGTGTGTGTATAGGTAGGAAGGATATGTGTGTGTGTGTGTGTGAGTGTGTGTGTGTGATAGAGATAATCATATCCCTAACACTCCCTGCTGTTCTGCAGGATATTAACTCTTCCCTGTAAGCCCACTTCCCTGCTGATACAGCACACACTGAACTGGACTGATGCCAGTTCCATGGCTCCCATACAGTGTGCCATTGAGACAGAAATAAACACAAATATAGGAAAGTGTACGAGTGTGTGTGCAGGCATGGGTTATGTATCATATTATGTGCCCACCGTCTCCGAGGAACTGCAGCAGCGCCAGGTCAATAGGCCGTTTCCAGCGGGAGTCCTTCTGCAGAGCGATGCCGTATCCCGTGGTGGCAAACACTTTCCCGCTGCCGATGGTTACCAGCTTGCAGCCCTCATCCTTACCCGCCATGTAGTTCAAAACAGCAGCATCATAGATGAAGGCGTCAAGCTTGCTGCAAGCAAATAGATCATCTTCGTCTGAGAGAATTTTTAGCTCTTACATAGAATTCTATTTATATCTCAATGTTTCTCTCTTAAAGGATCCGACACTATCATTGGTTCTGCATGTTTTACCCCATTAAATACAAACGGTGTATACTTTACATTGCTGCTGATCATTTTCAAAAGCATAACACAACTTTTTAGATTTTTCCAACCATGCAGGCTACTATTGCTCAGTTCATTTGAGACACAGTCAGAGACTTGAAACTTGCTTGAGATTGCTACTCCATCACAGCAGACATGGTAGAAATGTTTTGTCAAAGTTACATGCAATGGAACCAGTCGTGAGTACTCTTCTTTACTACAACCAGGAAGAGTTTTGAAATAAGTCCATGGCTGCAATATCATTAGTATTCAAATATTAATATGACTCAGACAAACAAGTTTACAGCTACAGCTCTGTGAGGCTACTTAGGCAGAGCAGTGCTTTGAGCTAAATGCTAATATCAGCATGCAAACATGCCCACGATGACAATGTTAACAAGCTGATGTTTAGCAGGTATAATGTATACCATGTCCACCATTTTGGTTTAGATTGTTAGCACAGGCTGATTTTAGTTTTGCAGATATTTGGTCATAAACAAAACTATTTTTGTACATTTGAAATGTACCAGAATGTGTGTCTGTCAACCACGTAGATGTAGAGATACTGCTGGTGGAGTTAGATTAAAAGTCAGGGGATCACAGACGTCGTCAACAATTTTTTAGGGAATCAATCCAAAAGTTGTTGATATATTTCAGTCTGGAGCAACCGAGTGACTTTGCCCTCCAGACAGCCACTAGTGTTGCTGAAGTTGAAGGTGACAAAATGTTCCAGGCAGGTTTCAAGTATCTGAAAGATAATTTTAATTCAACCCTAGCAAAAGAAAATCAATCAAGCAATCAAAATATTGAAGTATCTGCAATTTGTAGTTAATGTGCTCAAAATGTTCAAAATGATTTCACATGTTTTAAGTTTTTTCTTTGTGAAGACTGGATGTTTGACAGCACTTTTCTATATGCAAATTAAGCTGCAGTAGACATGATTTTTTCATCTAAAAATACACCCATCACACCGGCCTAATTCACAAATAGGTGCTACAACACAAAGAGCATCAAATCTCTGTTCTGTCACCCAAATAATGATCATTATTACCGTGGTGTCTCATGTCTTCACTGGCCAGAGGATCTGGTAAATTTACCCTTTTCTCTAATTGTGTAACATAGTTAAACATTTCAGTAAAACTGTACCCGGTTTTGAGGCTTTCTAGAGCTTCTTCCACCCCCTTCTGGTTGTATTTCATCATGTGTGTGTGCATGTCGGGGTAGTTGCTGCGGATGTTCCTCTCTGTGCTCCCGTTTGGGACCGTCCCGAAGCGGAAAGGAGGGTAATGTTCATGTGGTTTCTGGAACTGTAGGGAGACAGAGGATGAGAGGAAAGGAAATGGGGTAGAAGATATGAGAGATGAGGAGAGGGAGACAAGAGAATCGAGGGAGGTTTGGTAAGGGGGGGAGTAAGAGAGGAGGAAGTAAGGAGAAAATAGAAGGAGAGGAGAGAGACTGAAGGGAGTGAGAGCAGAACAGGGGAGGGTGGGAGAGATGAGGAGCAGACAGAAAGAAGCAGGCAAGAAAATAAAAGGGATAAAAGAGATGGGTGGTGATGAGGAAAGAAACAAGGGAGGAGGTAACAGAGAAGTGGTAAGCGGACAGAGGGAGAGGGGAGGGAGAAATAATGAGGAGGAACATTTTAAGAAGAAGAGCGGGAAAAGTCAGAGGACATGGGGAAAAGAGGAGAGAGAAGGGAGAGTTGGGCCAGAGACAGAAAGGGGGAGGAATGAGAGGAGGAGTAAGGCAAAGGAGGGCGGGACGAAAGGAGAAAGGGTAGGAGTAGGGAAGGAAGTAAATGAAGAGAAAACAAGGAACAAAAGAAAGAAAATAAAGAAGAGTAGAGGGTAAAAGGAAAGGAAGGTAAAGGAAAGGAATTACGGAAAGAGGAGAAAAAAGGGGCCAGAATGAAGAAATGGGTTGGAAGGTAGTAAAGAGGATGAGGGACTACTCAGTTAAATGAAATCCAGTTTAGAGTCATTCCATTTTTTTTTCCAAGAACGACTTCATCAGCAGCCAAACTGAACAGACGTAATACCATCCCACTCACCTCAGTTTGATTAAATCTGATATCAGTCAACAAACATCTGTTTGAATCATTTCACTGCCCAAAGATGATCCTAATCCCGCTCAATCTGTTCCCGATCGAAGTTCACATTTCACGAGTTGACGTATTAATGCGGCATGAAGCAGAAATGCGTCTGTTAGAGCTCAATTAGACTGTAAACAGGAAAGATCTATTCATCTTGGTTCCGGCATTGACCTTCTGAGCCGAGCACAAATGAATGGGCCACTCAAAAGGTGAGCGTGTGAGTGGGTGTGTGTGTTAATATAATCACTCTTCAGCTGCAAATGTGGTGGATTCAGTTGAGATGGTGCACGTCATCTTTCTTTTCTATATATAATCAGCTGTTCGAACAAAAGCCCACATCACAGAGACAAGATTAGAAATTCAAGGATAGGTTCAGTCTAATGCAATACTCAGATGTCCATATGCATATTATTATTAGCATTACAAAATCCACATCGCTGTGGACAAACATGGCTTTTAAAGTTTAGTTAAAGCTAATATGAGGGCACTAAGCAGTGGTCTGAGTTAGACAAATTAAGTGTGTATTTTCCTAAGTTACTGGCTTTTTATTTCTGCTCTGTGCTACTATTCCTCTGCCATGGCTCAGCAAGAAAACGCTGACAAAAATTTCGTACTAGGACTTTAACTTACAGCATGTTCTAGGCAAAGGGACTCAAGGCCCAGCAGTGCCCGGGAAACTTAAGAACTTTACTATTAATAAAGACATTTTGACAACTAACAACAAGTCACTCATTAAGCCAGTAATCAATTACAATATTGCTTGTCTCTATCAAAAATAAACTTCAACTTTCTCAGATCATCAACCATCATGCTGTATCAAGTTAACTAACAAGCACCGCTCAGTCAAATCTCTATACCCAGTCAGTTAGATGGACAATGAGCAACTCCTCCAATCAGGTCACCAATATAAAAACCCTCTGGCCAGGACAAACACAATAAAAAAGTAAATAATTCCAACTTCTGTTGACACTCAGTTGCTTCTTTGTATTGCCTTATGTTGACAGGTGTTTCTATCATTGTATGTGTTTAAGTGTAGGCTAAATGACAGAAACACCTTTCTGTATGCAATACAGCATCACAGACTACATCCAAAATGATCATTCAGTTGAATCAACACCTCTTTCAGTTTTAACAAGAACTGAACATTATAAGCCTCATGCAGGTTGGATTTGTTGCACCCAATAAAGTGGCAACTGAGTGTATAAGAAAGCAGTTTAACACCTGCAAATATATGTACTACTTTCTGCACAGCCATACGAAACTTACGTGTTCTTAATTGTGAGCCAGTTTTCTAAATCTGAATCATAAATACTCGCTATAAGCATGCACATTCCTGTTTGAGTAATGCTGTTTTAAGAAGGTGATGAGATTTTTAGACAAATGAGCTTGAGGTTAAAGGTCTTCATGGGCACACTTGGTTCCTCTTAACAAAAACTCAACCCGGGTTATTATTCAGTCTCACTGGGTTAGGTAGATTCATGTTGCGCTGCTGAGGGTGACTCTTTGCTGTGTGTGTCAGTATTACCCGAGTGGATCAGCTATCACATGATGAATAATAATTATCACAGGAGGAAAAACGTGTTTTTTGAGGCGAGATGGAGAGTGTGAACTGTGAGGTTCAGGAAAAATTAGATAACACTTTATTTTACGGGTCTTTAATTTTCTGAATCACTTTCTAATAATTTCCAACAAGTTTCCTAAAGTACTATGTCATTTGGTACTAATTATAGGAAGAAATAGAGTGGCCAGCTGGCACTCGTCCAGTTAACTAATGCCAAGTAATTGGTAGAGTTTATTTATAGTGGACAGTGCACAAAAATAAACACTGACATTGAAAAACATTGATTCAAATGTGCTGGGGTAGTCACGACTCTCTTGTGAGTCTCGTGAACAGCAGGTTAATTGAATATGCAAAAACTTGAAATATATGAATACTATTATATTAAACCCCTGATTAGGAAATTAATAATGAATTATTAACACAACATATGTAACATAAAGCATGACATGTTTTGACTGGCGCTGCTTATTAACTGGTGATCATTATGCTGCCAGTATTGTCGTTCTCTCTCGATTTCAGTCTGTTGGGGTTGACCACATATTGAATCAGGTCTGATTATCCTCGGGTCTATTCAGATCAGGTTCTGACTGTCCACAGCTCCCTTACGGATCGGGTCTCCGTAGTCAAGTATTCTCATCATGATAGGGTAGGATATTCCACAGTCCTTTTTGAGAGGGTAGGGAAGTTGGATTGAGATGGACTAACACATTGATTTTTGTCCTTTCACTGCATTTATTAACAATAGGAAAAATATAGAATAACATTTGCCTTATCCTTTAAATCTGTGAGATGTGAACCCAGCCAGCCTACGGCCTAAATCCGCCTAATCCTCTGTCGTGTAGGATCTCAGAATTAAGGGGCAACTGAGGTTGTGTTGTGCAGGGTAATTTATATTGGTCCCTTATGCTGTGGGACATAATACATCTGCATAAAGTTAATATAGTCAGTTAATTCAACCATAGATCACTGAGGTGGCTTTGCTGATCCCCGCCGCGGAGTTGTTTTCGCTATCTGTGAAGAATGAAATGCTATCTTATAAAACTCCTCTGAGGCCGTGTTTCCGGGTTGAGTTTTTGTGTGTGCGTGTCTGTTTTCTTCGGTGGCTTGACTGTGTTTTAATCGTTTGACATTTGGTGATCTTGTTTTAACAGTGTGAGAGAGACGAGAGATGGAGACGGCACAGGGGGAATATTGATGGACAGACCGAAATACTGACAGGACAAGTCGAGACTCAGACACCATCTGTATTGACAGAAGGCAGTAATTGATTAGTCATATGTGCCACTGGGTTCCCCACTGATAGGAAAAGGACAGAGACGTTCACAACATAGTCCTTTTACTTGACTTCATCTTAAAGGCTTCCTGTGAGTCCTTTGTTTCTCTTCCGTTCATGGTTTATTAGGTGATGCAGAGTGATGAACAGAGAATACAGAAGATGAAGTGGCATGGATTTATACACAAAGACAAAGGAGTGGTTTGCTCCATATCTCATGGCTCCACAAAAGCAGCCTGCTTTCTGTATGTCTGAGTGGTCTTTCAATAACTGTCCCACCTCACAATCACTCTGAGGTTAATATTCCGCAGTGAAACAGTTGTTTATTCAGTCTCTTACCTTCTTGTCAGAGAGCCCAGACACTGTGTCGATATATTGTTCCTGGATCATGAAGGCAGCCAGGTTGGCAGTGTAAGAGGCCAAGAAGATGACAGCAAAGAAGGCCCAGACCAGGACCATGATCTTACTGGTTGTTCCTTTAGGGTTTTCAATAGGAACCGAGTTGTTGAAGACGATGCCCCACAACAGCCACACTGACTTCCCGATGGTGAACGTCGGACCTCCAGGAGCTGAGTAAAGAGAGGGAGGAGAAAGTCAGAGAGGTTGTTTCTGTGTAACAAGGTCCTGTATTCAACATGGGGACAACTCTAGACCAGAGTGAGAAAAGAGGGGCAAACATTGATACTGTAAGGTTTATGGTTTTTCATGTTGGAAAACACATTTTAGTGCTCTAGCGGTGTCTAGACGAGCAGATAGTTTTGGTTTTACTCGCCTGGGCTTTAGGATTTAATCCTCCACCCCACTACAAAAGTAGTGAATAGGATTTTGTTTGTGGCGCTCAAAGCATTTAAAAATGACTTTTAAAAATCAATGTCAAAATTTCTTCCAAGAAATAATACCTCTATTATGCTACATAATCCACAGGCCACGCTGTTAACAATGTTCTTTGTAATTCCCACCAGAAGGATACATGTAAATGTCTGTTAGTGCCTTAAAAACCATAACTAATTGGAGTGACTTCTCATTTAACCCAGCTATGGTTAAGGTTTGGTTTGGTTTAGGCATATAATCAACTTGGTTAAGGTCAGGGAACAAGCACTGTCAGTAGGAAATGAGAAGCCAACAGCAGGTTTCCCATATCAAAGTCAGGCATTTTGTTGAACCATCCAACTACCCCAACCTCATTCCACTGCAGACTTTGTGCTCTATAACAACATAACACTATTTCCTCCTTTGATCCTGATGGAGAGGAGTTATAATTCCTAAAGCTACTACAGCTACTGGTCTTTTCCAGATGGATGTATGTAACATATGTCGTTTCTTGGGAGGACAATCTTTAATTGGGACCATTTTGTTTAAGAAAGTAGTTAATCTTCATGGTTAGATACTTCTAGAGGATGAAAATGTTTTTTGTAATTTAGTTATACAACCGTTGCCATATATGTATTGACTGTCAGTTTGATAACATCAGTTTTAAGTAACGTATTTGTTTCTACACGTTGTCTCATCAAGCAAAATATGTCCGCTTTGTAGGGATTCATGAGTCATCTCATGCCCTTCTGCAAACTTCCAAACAACAGAACAATTTCACAGCCTCAGCCTCCATCGCTCTCTGCCACCAGTGCTCATGTGCAGTAACAGAGGGTGCCGCCGCCATCAATCACACTTCGATTAGCGCGGCGACGAATGCTAATTAAAACAGGAAACTGACCTTTCAGACCTGGAGACGAGGCACGCTCTGTCAGTGCTGCATTCTGGGATTGATTAGACCTCTCCCCAAAATCCTGTTGAGGAACTTTTAACGTTGCAGAACGTGCAGACGGGGCTGGATTTAACGGGACGCACACAGGCTTACTGTGAAGTGCTTTCTAAGATTAGCAAATTAAATACATTTCATGGATCTTTTTTTTTTTTTTGCCACAGCTTCTGGCTATTTTCTGGCTTTTGATCAAGTAAATGCAAATAACTGCATTTATTCTTGCCGAATTACACTCAGAAAACAGCAGACATTGCGAAATATGTGAGATTAACAAAATATGATATACATGGAAATCTGTGGAATAAATATGGATTTTACTGGAGTTTTTCTCCTGCTTACCCCTGAAGAGTTTATGCTGTAATGATCATTCACTCCTCTTTCGCCCACTGTACACAGGAGGAATACATTCTACCAGTAAAAGTGAAACAAAGAGGTTTAAAACTCACATTTGGCGCTGACCAGACTGCGGTTGTAGCCGACTGGACTGAGGTATTCGAACACAAAAACTGTCACCGCCACCACGGTCAGGCACATCACAAACATCATGACCCAAACTGCTGGGCTGTAGGGCTCTGGAGGAGGAGGAACAAATATGAAGGATTAAAGTAAGTGTCTTTTGTACTTCCTGCTTCTAAACCTCAGCCTGTGATGGGGGTCACCATATGTGTTAGGAGGATAGCTGATGAGAAAACTGACAGACAGAAATACACTTTTCAGGGTTTTGAGCTGAATTTTGTTGTTTGGGGTTTGGAAAAGGGATTTAGGTGTGTGTGCGGTACGTAAGGGGATTTAGTTGTAGGTTACAGTTATCGGCGGGATAAAAGCTTAATGGGAAGTTTCCTGAAGCGTCTGCAGAGACAGAACTTGGATAAGTAGGCCATCCTGGAAGAAAGTGGTGAGAAAGAAGGTGGTGGCAACATGGCTGACATGTACTGTACATCAAACTCCAGGATAATGGATGTTATGACCAGTTTAAACCGGCACAATCAAACAGAAATGGATGTAGAAGTTGCCTTTTTCTTACCGAGAAAGGCAGACGGGGAAACTGTCCCATTGCTGCGGGCTACCATGACACTGATACCTGTCTCAACAAACGGCACGGAGAAGTCAATGATTTCCGAACGCTCCTCGTTGATAGTGAGAGAGCCAATGGCCATATCAGCTCGTCTATAAAACACCTGAGAGAAGAAAGACAGAGATACAGAGAATAATTACGGTCAGCACTGTGAAAACACGCCATTTATACAAAACCATTGTTGGTTACTTTATAATTCAGCAAAATAGACGTGAATGGGTGTATTTTATCACAACAAAACCTGCTTTCCAGTGTCCCAAAGGACAGGCTGTCAAGCTCTTCTTTGCTGAAAAGAGAACAAACTCTGAATTTCATAAGCAATCCTTTTTGAACATGGAAGTCACAATGCAGCAAACACTTTGTGCTCTACAGTAAAGCATGACTCTAATAATGGCTGTCTGCAGAGAAATATTTGTCTCATCATCTGAGCATCCAGAGAGAGAGAGAGAGAGAGAGAGAGAGAGAGAGAGAGAGAGAGAGAGAGAGAGAGGATGCATCTCAGGAGTGCTCATATCCAAGCTCTCAAAAGCAGGAATCATCTGTTTTTAATAAATGTAGCACACACACTCACACACCCACACCCACACTCACACATACACACACACACATATACATATACCGACCCAGAGCAAAGTGCCTGCGGGCACAGAAACACAAGCTAGAAGGCTCTCTTGAGGAACACCTGTTCAGGGCATTTTACTTTCTGATGCAGTTGTGTTTGATGTAGCTTGGTGTGTGTGAGAAAAGTGTGTTTTAGTTCCACATGTATGCACGGCCTCACACCACTGACCTAGATAAAACCCATCAAAGAAAACTCTCTCGGTCATGCAATGCAACTTAAGACACTGTGCATCATTACTACCATTCACTAACCGAACCAGAGGTGGGGGAGTCACTACTTACATCTACTCAATAACTGTCCTTGTGTACAGCTTGAGGTACTCGCACCACAAAATCTGTGTAACAGCTGTACAAACTGCCTCACATTTTACAATGAATAACAGATAAGCTGATAAAAATATGGCAGTTGTTTTTTCATTTTTCAGTAACTGAAACTGACAAAGAGCATCACAACAATTTATTTAAGACATTATTTAAAGAGTTTCAGAACTTGTTCTTATTTGGTAGAGGAGCATGTGATCCTTCGACTTGAGTATGTTTTGGTGAAGTTAAACTGATACTGAGGATCTGGTGGAAGTCATATTGGTCCCTGCACTTTTATTTTATAATTTTTATGTTAAATAGGCACTAATCAATAATTTTATATTAACAATGGGTCAAATAACCATGTGTAAAGTGACAGGGGTCACTTGTATTGATGAGCCAAACTCTTTCTCTCAGTTCTACTTTACAGTTTTGGTTCATCCTATCTCTTCTCATCAACCTCATTTCCAAACCTGTAAACAACCTGCCCAGGTAGTGCACAGTGGGTTTCAACTCAGAAGTTGGTGGAGATGAAGAACAGAGCTGAAACAGAGTGAATATTACACATAAATTCATCAGGCAGTGACGAAACATGAGCCTGAATGAAGAGTAATGTTGTTTCAAGTCTCCTGAATGTGTAAAGAAGTAAATGAATGCAGTCTTGTTATCATGGCTACAGTAGGTATCTCTTAAAAAAAATATTCTTTTATCTATCCCTTTTTAAAGTTATTATTAAAGAATAGTTACTATTAAAATATGCAGTGTTCCTAAAACTATGGGTAAATATCCACTGCTGTTTTTGGTGATATCTAATATGCTACACACAAAAACTTACCTTTAATGTAATTGGGACATGCCATAGCCCAAAGCTACATTTCTTTTTTAGTTAGATCTGGATGAAAATTTTAAAACACCTTGCTCTAATAACAGTCTGTAGATGGCCACTAGGCAACTCAACACAGCTACACCAGCTGCTGTATTCAGGGATTTATCCTTTAAATAACTCAGCCCTCAATCTCACCTCCCCAATCATGCCGTTCCAAGTCCCACGGACCAGCTTGCCGTGTTTTCCGTTGGTGACCAGGTAGAGGTCATAGGAGAACTTGATGGTGCGGGACAGCTTCTTCAGGATGTCGATGCAAAAGCCCTTACAGCACAGTTTGGTGTAGGACTCTGAGTGGCCGATAATACTGTAAAAAGGATGAAAAAAAGCAGAGTCACACATACAGTACATACACTTTTGTTTTTAACATCTTGTGATTAAAGGCCCTCTCTGGCAGCTGGGAAGTTATCTTTAGCTTCATAGACTAAACCTGTTTCGTTTCGGAAAGCGAGTGCTAACGTCACGCTCACAGCGCTCAACGTCAACGGCAGCGAAGTGAAGGGCAGGCGATGGCTGGTTCATTAGCTAAAATCAATGTCTGTTAACAGGGTGTCTTTCAAAGAGACGGAGGAGACGCCTAAAAACAACACATACGCACACACCGAGGCAGTGTTGATGGAGCCCACAGTGGATGGTTGAATGACTGTGATGGCCTCTAATCAAAGGCCATTAAGGTGTGTATCATGTGAGGGACACTCACTTCCTCTATGTGACCTCGCTACTTAATGGGGTGTAGAAGAAGAGAACAGAAGGACAGGAAATGGTGAAAAGGTAATAGAATAAAAAATAACGGAGGGCCACTAAAAGCAACAGAGGACAATGAAAGTTAAAAGCAGACAGATTGAAAATGAAGTCGACAAACTTCTTGGAGAAAAAAACAACTCTTTCTTTACTTTTTTTCAATTTCATCTATCAGCTGCTAAAGTGGAGGTCTAAAATCTACAAGGGCTGAACCATGCTGTCTGTGTGTGTGTGTGTGTTTGTGTGTGTGATTGAGATAACCTCAGCATGTCAGTGAGTCAGCATAAGAGCTGAAGAGTGTTCAAAAGAGAGCACGTGAGTGATTAAACGAGCAAGACATTGAATGAAAAGTCAAGTGAGCAATTAACATTCAAGTTGATTACATTCAACAGCGTAAGAGTTCGTTTTAAACAAATTTTAAGTGCTTTTGAAAGACTCGCTTCTTTCACAGGAGTCAATAGCTCTGATAAACACAGTGTTAATTAATTGCTGCAGGAGCTGGCCACCTGTCGTCGTTATACACACTCCACTAATAATACACACACACACACACACACACACACACACACACACAAACACGCCTAAAATGTGCCACACACACAAACACACGTACACATATAGTACAGTATCCGCTGAGAATTAGCAGCAGTTGTGTTGTGTTCTTCACGAAATGCCCAGAAACTAGTGCAGCGTGGAGGGAAGCACCATAAGGGAGTTAGACCAGAGAGAGAGAGAGAAAGAGAGGGAGAGAGAGAGAGAGAGAGAGAGAGAGAGAGAGAGAGAGAGAGAGAGAGAGAGGGAGAGGGAGAGAGGAGGATTCTCAGGTGAACAGCAGACAGGAAACACATGGTGAACAACCAGACAAGGCCTGACAGGGCTGCGGCTTCAGTTTGGAGGGAAAGGAGGGCAAGAGCAAAGGAGGACAGAAGGAGGAGGAGGAGGAGGAGGAGGAGATTTGAAATTACCACCACTGTGATCACGTAGGAATAATGAAAGTTAATGTCACTGGACCACATTTCCATTCAAAAAACTATTATAAACCAACAATCCAGATCAAAAAATACACAACAGTAAATGGCCAAAAGTACGAGGACACCCAAACATTACACCCACACACTGTAGGAATTCAGCTACCAAGGCGCCCTGAATGCACCATTTACTTTATAGACACACTTTGTGAATGGGGACACTGTCATGTTGAATTTCTGCTCTCACAAATGTGCACACAAACTATCCTCCAAAAAATAATTATGAGCTGTAGCATGACGATTTATCTTAATTAGACTAAAGGGACCTAACCCAAACCATTAAAAAGAGCCCTGGACCAAAAGCGTACACACAGGTACAAGCTGTCCAATGCCCCTCACTCTCAAATTGGATCAATCTGCTGCCCAAAATTTACTTCCAGTGCCAACGCTCGATGCCAGTGCAGGAAGCTGTGTTGGAGCATAATCCCTCCCTAACCCTGACCAAAAGCTTTAGTTTGTTCCCTAATTGTAACCAAACCCTCTCCATACATTGTTTACCTGCCATAATCAAGACATTTTTACCTTAACCACAGTTGTCATGTGCAGATATTGCAGATAAAAATTGTAGATTTAAAGATTAAAAACATCAACATATTTTCATTGAATGTTTTGTACAATTGTCTTATACCAACATTTTGGCGATAGAATTGGGACGAAGCTGAGTCCTCACATTTAAGGCTCTGTCAGCAGTAACTTTTTAGCTGGATAATTACTTAAACAACTAATGAAATGATCAGCTTATTGTTTCAGCAATGCTTTACATTGAGCATCTGTCTTCTGCATGTTGTGCTACACCGTACTATATATCAGGTTGGATTTAAGTGTGGAATTCCTGCTCTTAATCAGGGCAGAGAGGTAGGCTCAGCTCTCTGGCAAAAGAAGCCATCATCTGTCCAAAGAAAGGATTTTTTAATGAGCAAGACAAAAGTTTTAATTACGCTTAACATCTGTTCTGCGGGGAAGCTGCTCAGACCAGCAAGATGAACTAATTTATATAACAGCAGTCTTCTCTCTCCCTCTCTCTCCCTTTTCTTTTCCTTCTCCATGTTTGTTGGTCACCATCCAAATGGGACATGCCAGCCAGAGAGAAATGGTGAAAGAGAAACAGAAAGAGGGTAGGATGGGATAACACTGTCCCATGCTATGACAGATGTCCCCATGTTGGACAGATAAATCTTCTTTACTGGCAATCAATGTGCCATCGCACCCAACAACAGCCGCTACATATCTCTCTCTATAATTAATGTGCCAGCCATGGTCAGCTCTGCAATCTGCATAACTGACACACACACACACACACAGATACATGTGGAGTCACCGAACATGGCATTTATAGGATGAATTGTTTGTTTTCTGTTGTATTGGCGATGAAAAGTTGATCAATCTGTGTATATTAAATATATCATAAATGTCTAATAATTCAACACTTCAATGTTATACAGTGGTACAAGTGAGGCTGCATCGACACTTAAATTTAAGTGACATTTTGGTACATTTATTTGCTTTCTTGCAAAAGTAAGATGAGCTATACAGCAATAAGCCTAATACCTTATCTTAGCTTATAGGTCGGAAACGAGGGGAAACAGACAGCCTGGCTTGCACAAAGTTTAAAAAAAAAAAACTACCAGCACCTCCTCTGGTTTTTGTACAGATTAAACTAAAGATGTAAGGTGTTAATTAGTAAGCTTCAGAGGTGCTGGTAGGCATTTTTATTACCTTTCGCAAGCTGTTTCCCCCGAGTCTTGTCTTAATGCTAAGTTAAGCTAATGGGTTGCTACCAGTAGTTTCATATTTAGAGTACAGACATGACAACCTTCTCTCAATTCTCTTAAAAATACAACATATTCAAGCCTATTTCAACATAAATCGATGCATTATTGCTCTTTACCTCTCTTTTTTTCAATTGCACTTTTGGCAGACTTTACTACCACAGACACATTGTTCAAAACTGATGGTTTTACAATGAAAAACTGTGATCATTAAAGGAACTTAAGATACATGCATGAAGGTTGCAGGTGCCATTGGAGGCATTTGTTGTGTATTTTGTTTGAAAATGTTGATTTTTTTAATAAATAATACAGTGAGGCATCATATCTGCTTTTCATTTACAGAATGAATCAATAAGCACTTTGAAAAACATAAGGTGATTTTGCCCCTGATTTTCAAATATAATCAAATATTTGTGTCAACAACATCTAACTGTAACACAAGTTTGCCTGTAAAACACACACGTATACATACATAATACACAAAATAACACACTTATAAGTATAATTATGTGGCAAATGGAGCTGGCTGTTGAACTGGTATGGCTCAGGGTAAACTCGCTGCTGCAGGTAAACAACACAGCAGCATGAATACATAGTAACAAAATCAATAACAGGCAGAGAGAAGATCTTCCAATGAGAATTAAGTTAGAAATAACAAACCTCATGAGTGCACAGAGGAGCTACTGTAGGTGTCTGAGGTGAAAGAGTCTTATGCCAACAACATATATACATACAGAGAAAATATGAGCCTAAAGGCCTCTAAATAAATGATCAAATCAGTGCAATGACATGTGGCGGGTTGTAAAGATTTTGTCTGTTTTCATTTGATCTCTGTATCTCTTGGTCTGCTGAACAATATGTGTCCACATGAATAATAGTTCCTTGGAACGAGCACTTCTCTTCAATTGTGTTGCGTGTTCATATACCAGAAGATAGCTGGAGTTGTGTATTTTGTTTGTGGGCCATTAGTCCATTATTAAAACTGTTGTTCGACGGAATCAAATCTTAGTTTCTCAGCTAAAGAGAGATACTGCCCACAAAAAAATGCAACACAAAGGCTTTTAGAAACAGTCTGGTCTCAAAAGAAAATAAGAATCTTAAAATATAGATACATTAAATGAAATCCACTTGCATTCAGTAGTTAAGTTATTATTATTCATTGAAACTATCTTGGCAGATCCAGGAAGAAAATACATTAATATGTCTGTGATCAGAAACATGTGTGCCACTTGTGACTCATTATTCCAACATTAAGGATCATTAAGAAGGGCTTTATGCATAACACTTTGTCTCTAATATCACTTTCAAATGCAGAGACACAGCAGAGACACTGGACGATACAGTACTTATACCTGCATCTAAATGTATTAATAAAAAATATCAAGTATACTATTCAGTTTTAAAAAAAGAAAGATATATGTGTAAATCGGTGGAGTTGGATCAGTTTCAAGAATGACAGATTTTAAATGAGGATCACGTTTCCCAAAGGTTGTAAAATATATTCTGTTTTGTCTCCTCCGTCAAATATTCCTGTGTGGAAACAAGCAGAGCTGACATTGTGGTTGACACTAGTTTTACAACAGATTGCAATTACATTTATGATAGACTTGTACTTCTTTTGTTGGTGGTTGTTTGAACATAATGAAGACATTGTGTATTCCTGACGAGCTCCAGTTGTAGGTAGTCAGAGGTAATAGCTGTTTAATGGCTGTTTTCTGCCATGCTGCGATCTGTGTTTGACACCAGAGGTGTGTTTTTAAAGTACTTAGACACTCAGCACACACAATTACGCTGTGTTTAATGAAGTGTGGAGGTTTGCAGTGTCTACTCAGAACTAAACTGGGGCAGAGAAAGGGAGAGGGAGGGTGGATATGTCTGTGTGTAGGACTGCGTGTAATTTGAAAGGTTTCTTATTTGATATCTTTTATGGTAAATTTTAGTCACCATAACAAAATGATACTTTGCTTTGAGAAATGTGTTTTTCTACTTTAAAGGTCCAGTTTGTAACATTTAGAAGGATCTACTGGCAGAACGGGAATGTAATACTCATAGGTATGTTTTCATTAGTGTTTAATCACCTGAAAATAAGAACTCTTGTGTAGAACCGCCATGTTTCTACAGAATGGACAAACCAAAAACTCTGGCCCTAAGTAGGGTCTTTTGCATTTTTTGTGAGCCTCTGTAGTTTCTCCTACATGCTTGGAAGACTGAGCTGTATTCAAATGGCTGAATTCTGCAACTATACCACTAGATACCACTAAATCCAATCTTCTTGATCCTTTAACAAAAGGAGCCAAAGCTCTTAAATGTTAAATGTCGTCTGAACACAGGCAGCTAAACAACAACTTTGCCTCAACAAAACTGTCAAAAAATGGCTACATTTTCATTCAACATCAGGAACTTTCTGATAACAGAAACAATTGAATTTGACAGTTGAGAAAATAATCTCAACTCAGGGTCTACTTATTCGCTTTTTCTGGAGCTTCTGGTGCAAATGGACCTTGAGTTGATGTTGTTTTGTCAGCTGCTGTTTCCAAAGTCAAGAAATATCAAGCTCAGCTATCACAATCAGAGAGTTTGAACACAGAACCATGACAACAGAGCAATTTTAATCTTCACACAAGGACACAGTGATACAGTGGAACGCTCCAGTACAATTGAATAAAGGTGATTTCAGGCTCCCAGAGAAAATCTGACAAATTTGAGAGAAAGATGGTGAAATCTTTGGTTGTCTGTCAAAGATGGTCTGAGATTGTTCTGTGAGACATGTTCACTGATGGACACAAAATCTCACAATATAACTGCTGCTATATGACCCACATTTACAAACCCACCAATCACACTGGCATGCTGACATAACGCTACTGCTACAAACAAGTTTACCTCAAACTCACTTTACAAAATAAGGATTTTATGTCGCCCCTCTTTTCCCTCCTCATTCGTAGCATAAAAAACGATTTTATTTTGAGACCAACATGTTTCAGCTTGCAGTATGGGTGACCTTGATGAAGGCCACAAGAGGAAATGTGTTGGTCCCACAGCGGATGTTGTAAAGTCTGACGCAGGCTATATTAGACCCATCTCGCACAGTGTGAAATCCAGTGAGCTTTGATTGTTGTTATAGTTGTTGCCTATAGTGTTGTCTGTATGTTTACATCTGCATAAATATGCAAGCGTTACATGTGTTTGTGCTGCTGTGTGTACCTCTCTGTGCGATTGGACTGGCGCCTGCAGGGCACCGTGTTGCGGACACACGTGCCAGTTCCCGGGTCCACATTCTCGACCATGACAAAGGGATGCTCCTCCAGTGTGGCCACGGTTAGGTGACGGTCATCAGACACTTGCTCCAGGAAGCTGCCATATCGAGGCCAGACTGGGTAGCGAACCTGAAGGATCCCCCGAGCGAACGTACCCACCTGGAGACACAGAACTCATTCTTTGAACTCATGTTATCATATATGTCTATGCAGTAAATGTACATTTAAGTAATGTAGTTAAAGACAGTTTTGAGGTTCTTGCTCGATTTCCATTTGATGCTACTGTATACTTCTACTCCTTTATATTTTGGAGGAAAGTATTGTACTTTTTATTCCACTACATTTATTCCACTACTTTATTTGATAACTAGTTACTTATTAGTTTACTAATACAAAATATCCGCTAACAAATGATGACACATTTTTAAAGATCTAGGTGTTTAAAGTAGCTAAAGTTAGTTAGCTGCAACATTACTGATGCTTACACATCGATGCATCGTTAATTATAATCCTGTATTTTTTTCTAAAAATAAGCCATTCTGCATAAAAAGTAGGTACTTTTACTTTTTTATACTTTAAGTATAGTTTTTATGATAATACTTGCATACTTTTGCTTCATTGAATATTTTACACTTTTTAAAAAAACTATTTTTACTTAAGTAAAATATCTGAGGACTTCTTTCACTACTGGACATGTGTTTGGATCTCAGCCATGACCTTCTGTGCATGTCAGCTCCTTCTCTCCTCACCTGTCTTGTCTTTCCCTGCTTCACAGGATGAATGATTCTTTTTTTTTGTTTTAATTTATAAAGGAAAATTAGCATGTGCTGACCTGGAGGAAGAGGATTAGAAGATGAAAGAAGAGCAGAGTTCATTAATGCGTAGGAGACTTTAAAAAGTCTTTGAGTGAGAGAAAAAAGCCAGAAACTAAAACAAAGAGCGAATCGACTGCATCTCATTAATAATACATCCCAGCATGTGTTGCCTTCAATCTGTGTTCATTTTGTTGACTGATTATTCAATTATTAATTGTCTTTTTTTCAACTGAATAAAGAAATTGAAATGCCAGTGTTCATAAATGGGAACTGTCCATGTGATTAGTGTTTTTATGTTTTTGTGTGTTTAAAATATTTGCTGCTTTTGTAGAACTGCTTTAATAATAATAATAATAATAATAATAAAGGTAATAAAGGTTTTGTGCTAATAAACCTCCCTGAACTGAGCAGAATCGTCAAACAGATAGGCTGACAGCATATCAAGTACTGTAACAAGATATACTGAAAAATGCAGTAGATTGAGTTTTTTAATGTCAGAGGGAGCCACTTCGGCCCAGAATTGCTGTATAATGTCACATCAAACAATGAATAATCCCATCGATGTCGGCACTAAGCTCAGTGAAACTGTGAGATTCAGGACTGTTTGTCACATCAGCCCAACCTAATGAGCCATGCTGAGCTCAGCCAGCACTGACTTACTGCATGTGAAACTCGCTCCCTCACAGCTTTAATGAGACCTCGTTCTCAAACCAACTCCTGATCTGTTCTTCTGCTCACTCATACTAGCGATCTTCCCTTCGTCACACATGGATGATTTACAAATCTGCATGAAGGTACAGTAGGATGTGCAAGATCAGGGATTTGTTTCTCTGCACCATCTGTGAATGACAGAATCGCAGAGATGCCAGTTGTGAAGATCAATCATTTCAATCTGTCTTTTATGGGATTCTCATATGTCTTCTCCTCTCAAAGAGCATCTAAAGCAGACGCTCTATCATCTACCTGTCATTCTCACACTCACTACACTGCTGAGAAGGTGCCAAAACTGTTATTGATTATTGGATACTGGACTAAAATACAGTATTAGGATCTTGGAATTTCCCCAATACTTCATGTTAGAAATGAAACTCAAAATGTCATCATGTCATGGTCATGGGACCCCCTAAAAATCACATGGTATTTCAACCGAGACAGTGCCTTATGTCCCGTGTCACACAGAAAGTTTTGTGCCTGATGCTTGTCTTGTCGCCTTGCATTGGGTCATCTCATCACCTTTGGGATAAGGTAGAAGAACCGTCACCTACAAAGTTGTTTATTAACCTAATCTTTGCCTTAACTCCTACATTAAACCTACAGAAGAACTCATGCCTCATTGTAAATTCAAGCAGAAATTACTTTTTTTTTTGTTCCTCGTACAGATGGTATGCCTTCATTCATGGTCCGTGACTACTGTTGGACTTCCCAGTTGATTTTGAAATGACATTATCTAACTGTTGATAAATTCCCACTTAAGTCTAACAACAAAAAATCTACTCATATGGGAGGGTCTGTATTCTCAGTGTACTCTATCTTGTATCAATTGATGCCCAAACAGGCTTACAAGTCATGGTCAAACCCTACAGCCCAGCCCGAACATTGCCTCTTCGGCATGCTTCACCTCTGCGTCTGGACGTTAGCTGTCCCATTACTCAGAGGATACTGTGGATGCTCATCTCAGTCAAGGCTCTTCTCTGTTCCCAGGTAAAAAAAACCACCTTCAGACTATATCTCAACAACCTTTGCTAGCACTTATGTCTCCTTTCTAAAAGAAGAAAAAACTAAACATCTCTGAGGAAATAACTCACAATTCTGGATTATATATTTCTCCTGTGTGGTTTAAATGTACTTATTGTAAGTCCCTCTGGACAAAAGCATCTGCCAAATGAATGTAATGTAATGTTTCATGATAAAGTACCCATGGAACTGTCAGACAGACAAAACATGAAAACAACACACACCACTCATTCAATCAGACTGCTGTGTGGAGGCAGCGGGGGGGGGGGACCTCACAGGGCTACAGCGAAAAACAAAACAAAACACCAGGGTCTACAGGCCAAAAAATTTAACCTCTCTCAAGCTTTTTTTACACAGTGCAGTAAACGCACATTACTGGTAGATTAGTGTGTCACATCAACGCCTTATTGCTGCTGTTTACCTGCCAATTGTTGTGACAAAAGACAAAATGACTGTCACTTTCTGGAGTTGCAAAATCCTTCCACATAATAACATCAACCACTGTGTAGCTGCTGATAAGCCTTCACACTCTCAGATGGATTTATCACTCATTTATTATGGATTCTATTTCATTGTCTCACTGCTACCTGAAGCAACATGGCCGCACCAATGCAATACAAGCATCTTGTATTTTACTGTCTGAGGACCAACTCAGAGGGCTAGTTCTAATTTTCTTCTAGCTGTATGTAGCTGGGCAGATAGTTTCAGTTGAATTTGGTGATATTTTGAGATATCTGTTGCTGAGACTTCATCCCAATAAATTAAAGGTCTGTATGTTTTTAGCCCATTCAAAAATGTGCGTTATATGATTACTTTAAGTCTGGGATGTCCATGCTTTGTCCCTTGGAGGGACAAAACCTCAACTTAATGGGGGGCCACGGGCCAAAAGCAAACACCCACTGTTTTGTATTGTTTAGACACTAAATGGTACTTTACCCTGAAACAGTTGTCTGTTTCCACATCCAGCAGACATGGAACAACATTTGCATTTATTCTGCCAACCAATCAATGTAAGTCCAATATCCAGGCTTCTTTTAGCTCTGTTTGTGGTCTCCACCAACTACGGAGACAAATATGTGGCTCTTGAGCTCCTAAATGCTATGTTCAGAAGCTTGTCACTAATTTGCTGTTTAGTGCTGGGCAGGTAGCATACAGTTGGCTTATTAGAGTTTTTTTTTTTTTGCTTAAAACAGGTGCCTGATCCTGCAGGAAATTAGGTTGATGTGTTTAAAGATGCTAAAAGGTTCTTCACTATGAGTAACGTTTTTCACTTTGTACATGCATACAAATATTAATTACTGCAGCTTTAAGCCATTTTGAAGTGTTTTTATTCTCTGTATTGATTCTACAGGTGGAAGAGTATCGGTGAGAAGAACAAGAATTCAGACAGGGGCCCAGCAGAGAACGGGGATTTTTCCTGCCCAAAATGTCACCCTGCAGCACCCTTCAGACGGTGATGAGGAACAACATGATGTTAAACTGTCAGGATGTCACAATGGAGGACAGACACTTGAAAAGAGCAAGTACACCACAACCAGGCGTAATTATGGATGAGCTACATGACAAGAAGAGGAGAGGAAGTAGTGAGAGATCAGGTTGTAATGAGGACAGAGGAAAAAGAGAGGATTCAGAGAAAACAGACAGCATCTTGTTGTAAGAGGTGTCTTATTGTTGATAGTGTGTGTGAAGAACAGCAGGACATCTACACTACACCTTAACATGAGCTCTTAATGTATAAATGAAGTGTATGTGACTATGTTGGCTGTATAAGTGCGCCTTTAAGGTTTACACACACATACAAACCGAACCCCACTTCACCACAATTACATGTCCATGTTCATACACACACATTCATACGCACACACCAGCCAAGAGGTGACATTGATAAAGTAGGTTGGTCTTTCCAGAGTAGAAATAAATGAGTTCAACTGTAGCTGTGAGATTACATTCAGGTCTCTCTGTTTAGTCGCACTTTTTCAATACACCCCCAGGCTTTGAAAAGTGTGTGTGTGTGTGTGTGTGTGTGTGTGTGTGTGTGTGCGTGTGTGTGTGTGTAAAACGGAGTGAAAATACTCAAGAAAATTGCAGGGCATGGTGACAATGAAACAGGAGTACTGTAAGAGAAGAATATGGCTTTAACAGGAAACAGACGCACAACATTATTGATTTGAAATCACGCCAACACTTGTACCTTCAAATATCACCTATTGGTAACGTTCAGAGCATGCTAGGAGTTATTTTGTGATCAATTGTTTGAGATTTTTTAATGAATCCACTCCAATTTTATTACCAGCTTTTTCCAAAATGCATGCTGACATCTCGAGTGCAACAGGAATGAACTTGTTGCATCCAATCAGATTATATTTGTAGGTCAGAGGTTTGCAAACTGTGAGGTGCGGCTCCCCAGGCAATACTTCGCAATGCTGATTTGGCCAATTCACCAACACTGTCAGCACAGTTAGAGTAGCAGCAGTGGCTGGGACACACGGCTCATGGAGGAACATTTTACTATATTGTTTTAATTTACGCCTGAGTCATCTGAGTCAAATCTGAACGCACAGGCAGGATACAGTTACACTTTCTGAGGATATATTTATATCTGATGTCAATTGTAATAAAAGTAAATAAATCCATTTAGAGATGATAGAAAAAAAGATGATCCCTATAACTCCCGAACTGGCCTGAGAATAATCACATTTTAAAGTTTTCTTCAGTATCAAAGTAATCCAGTGATAGTTGTTCATACATCCATGGATAGATTGTAAACAGGAACTCCAAATAGTTAATTCAGCATGCTTTTAATGGTGCAAATGTAAACATATATAAGCTAAATACACGGGGCTCCTCGTTCGATAGCAACAAGCAGCGTTACAGACTTTAAAACCCCCCTGGCGGAGGTAAAGTACGAACTTTACTTCAATGTAGATGTTTTATAACAGTTGCTCACAGGCTGAGCATTACGATTGTTTTAGGGATTGATTTATCAGCGCGGAGGTGTAAAGATTTTGTCTGTGTGGGTGTGGCAGTTGGATAACTAATGATGGGTGAGAGTTACTTTACAGCTGTTTATGTCCTTATGTTAAGATTTTGATCATTAAGTTTCTCAATAATAATGGAAGGGCTGATATACACAGTGGCCGACGACCACGTCTTTATATCACTGTTGAAGTGAATGCCTTTTTAGTTGACCCATGATTTGTGTGCCTGTGTATATCTGTGGAGATAGGATTAGTTTGGGTGTTTAGCATCATTCTCTGCAATATTACTAAAATATAAGTTGAATTTGAAAGAAAACATCCTTAAATGTTTTTCATCATGAGTCTCAAAATCTCAGTTAATCTGCTTCATCAGGACTGTGTGGGTGTGATTTGATCTCTGGCAGGGTAACAATAAAAATAATAATATTGCTTAATCCTAATTGGTCCATGGAAGTGCATCACATCACTTTTTTCCAACAGAGATCTTTCATTTTGTCACAAAAGTGTGTTCATGTTGGACCCCATCACTTACAAGCTGGAAAAGTAGTTTGGACGGATCAGGGGTGGTTTATTTTGGGTCCATAATTTCAGGTCTGTCCAGAAAAAATATGATATGTGTTTTTGATTTTGAGTCAAGGACATTATGATATTTAAAGTTGAAATTTGAGTCCTGCCATTGTAACCTCTTTGCGGTTATTGCTCTAAGCAGACTGCATTAAGGGCTTTTACCTAAAGTGCTTTAAAATGCGCTGCGTTAGGATGTCAACATGACATCTTCTCATCTACATTTGGATTTTTATATACAAAAATAAAAATAATACATACCAAAATGAAGGTCAAATGGAGGACTACATGGCCAAGAGCTGTTGTTAACAGACTCAAACTGTAATGCTCTTAAACTAAACTGAACCCTAAAAATGTGTTCCATAGTGCCATTATGTCCTTGTGATTCAGTTTCCAGTGTCAAAGTACCTTGTCCCAGAGTCTCTCCCGATCCAGAGCAACGATGACCATCGAAGGGTTGGAGAGGAAGCCTTGGTTGTTGAATGACAGATCTTTCCTTTCCCATGTCACATTCAGCATGTTTCTGCAACCCACGAGAACATAAAGTCAGAAGAAAGTGTGTTGTATGCAATCAAGGACCTTGATTCTACATCACAGGATAATTTGCATATTCATTTACACAGATAAACACACACAATGATCACCTCCTAATTAAGCCGAAAGCTCCCCTGAGAGGGCTAACGTGGGGGTACTGGAAGTAGTTCATTAGGGGATGACAGAAGCAGCTGATTGGTGGAGGGAAAAGGTGTTCCTACTGAGTGATTTCGCTGTCTGTTAAGGTAGCTATACATCCACAACAGACGAGGCTGTGAATATTTAATCAAGGTTAATTTGAATTTCAGACCATGTGCAAAAGAGGTGCGAAATACTTTCACGTCTTGCATGAATGTGTGTGTGTAAAGTTATGAGAAAAGTGTGAAAGCTGAAGCTGTGCTCTTCCGTCCATGCATCAGGAAATGTCTGGAACAAAAATATGCCTCCTACCTGAACAGAGTATTGTTGTCTGAGAGTTTTGCCGGCTTGTTGCAGTCACCATGTCCCTCAGGAATAAAACCATACTGCTTCTTGAAGCTCTCGGCACCTTTCGCTACAATGGCGACACCTTCCCTCACCCTCTGCCGCAAGCTCTTCCTCCACTGGTCCGTAATCACTCCAATAACACCGATAGGAAAGCTGTCAGGTGGAGGGCTGTCGGGGTTGCCCACGGCCAGACTGGGGAGGATCCAGATGTAGCCTGGCCCCAGCAGACCTACCTCAGCTGCCTGACGAAACAAGTACTGCGCCTCCTCATAGGAGCAATACGCCAGCAGGACCTGAGAGTCCACCTGCAGACAGAAAAAGAAATCTGTTAGTGCCAACTTCACTTCACACAGAGAAATCACTGCCTGAACATAAAGTTTTTGGTAGTTTCGCTAAATCTATACCTGCTGCAGCATGCGTTTGGTCCTCGCATCGTTAGACCCAACAGACATTTCCAGAGACAAGATATCCTGTAGATTCCACAGGAAATACGAGGTATCTGTGTACGACTCAACTATATCCACAAAGGTGTCGTAGCCCGGCAGCAAACTGGTGATCACCGCAAACTCGCCCCAGTCATACTCCTCCATCAGCTGAAACAGGGAAATAATAATAATATCCAAGGTAAAAATGTAGTAATAATGAATAAGTGCAAATATTAGTTTTTGGACAGATTAACCAAATGAGATATAACATGTTAATTTGTGAGCTTAAGAGGTGTTAGTGGTCAGGTTTTATTACCTTCAGACTAGCTGTTTCCTTCTGTTTTTACTCTTTATGTTAAGCTAAATTAACTGGCTGCTGACTCTATAGCTACATATTTAAGGATATATTACATGAAATTGGTGTTAGTTTCTATAAGATGCGTTGAGTCTTACGTTGGTATTGACCATGACACGAAAAAACTAGAAAGCTTTTTAAATCCTGTAATCTTTTTTTTTTAAAACACATTTCATCACAAATATCCCTGTCAATTTCCCAATGGATGTCTCTCACGTTGTGGAAATGTTCCCACTAGATGATGAGATAATGTTACCACGGACTTAACTGAGATTATCCCGTTGACCCCCAAAACATCAGTGACATCAGCTCTCTGATCTCATGAGAATTTGAACAATCTATCATAAATACAGATTAGTTTAGTGGAAATCGGGCCAGAACATTAGATCAGGGATTCCCCCACTGATCGTTGGGATGTCCTCACATTGTGTTAATCAGCCTGAGAGCTGCCATTTGTCATTTGTAAGGCTTGACCATTGACTGTATATATAATGGACAGAGCTTCTGGGTCTGAAAAGTAAAGCCAACACGGAAGTGTCTTAAAAGCTGCACTCTATGTAATTTCCAGCAGGGGGAGCTCCATTGGCTGCAATAGCACAGTGATCCCATTAACTCTAATGGAGAATGAGCTATCTTGACACTTCATTTATGAGCTCAGTAAATAGTTTCCTTATGAGGTTAGGGTCTCAGTCGCTAGTTTTCACATAAAACAGACAATAAAGTCACGTGTGCTTTTGGGCAGGGCTACATTTTGATTGACGGGTCACTCTTAAAGTGAGTCCATCCAGCACAGCCCACGAAACTCAGATCAAATATGAAACTGTTACTGCATTGCCTATTTCTCGCTTTACTTTAGTGTACTGAACTAACCAGGCAAGCCGCTATGATTCCGGCTAGTCCAAACTACACAGCCAATGAGCGTAGATCAACTTGCAGTACATCACGTCCGCTAGCTCATGCTGGCTCCGTTCCGGGGCTTCACAATGGCACTCCACAAACCAATGGGTGACGTCACGCTTGGGCTTGACCCTTCAAGCATTTTTTATGATAACCTTTTACATACTTACATGTAGTGTGACACATTTCTGTACCTTGAACATGCAGACAATCTGCTGCTCCAGAGACGCTCCCATCTGCAAGAAGGAGGATCCCTCAGCCTGTAAAGAGTAAGAGAGTCTCATTTAAGGATTCAGGTGGGGAAAGTATTTTTCGTGGTGGAGTGAAAAGTGAATGATAAAGCAGCAACTCCAGAGCAAGTTTAGCTCAAAGACGCTTCAGCAGGGTGGATGTTAGCTGTCAAATTAATTTAAAGAACAGTTTTTTCTTCTCACTATGCTACTATACCACATTTTTGCTTGTGTATTTCTTTCAAAACAACATCTTATTTCTTTTTCTCACTTCTGAAAATACATTATGACACATCTTGAATAAATTAGCAAATGAACATCTGAGTACGGCCTTGAAGTTTCTCCCACAAGAGAAGCAAACTAAAAGGTTTTCAAATTAACTCGTCTGCTGCTCATCATTTTAGCAGCACCTTTAACATTGTGACTGCTGCAGAACATTTAAATTTGGATGAAACTTTGCCACTACTAGGACGGTGCACTTTAAATAATTTGTCCTCTTGTTCAATAAGCATACTATCACTCGAAAAACATCACCGTTAAAAGTCACTTAAGCAACACACTGGAACAGCCTTCCAAAACCAATTAAGTTGACGAGAAGTGACAAATGGGATGAAAAGAAAGGACTACATTTTAAAGGTGAGCTATGCTTGGACAATGGCACTTGAATCTGCTTTGTAACATGTTTAAGAATATCTATAACTTGACAAAATGCATGCCATTAGAGTTTTTCTTTTAACAAAGTATTAAATCTTTGTTTGATTGGGATGATGGATATAACACGCAGCTATCAAATACACACTTGCACCCTAAACTAATAAAGATGCAGATGCAGAGTGATGTGTCGTATAAGGAACGGTTACCATGAATATTTATTTTACAGTGTGTACTCTTATCGCCATATTCAGCCTCAATCTGGTGTCTCACGTGTCTCCAAACTGCAAACACTCAGTCCTGCTGCTCCCTTTCTGTCAAGGAGGGGTGGTCCAATGTTGTATGTGTCTGTGTGTTAGCATACATTTGCATACCGTCTCGCTGTGGGTTCGTGTGTGTTGACAGATAAGATGGAAGTTATTAGAGCCTGCTGAACCCATGTCCTTCAAATAGCATTCACATAAAGTAGGCTATCGGGATGAGAGGAGAAGGACTATTGTAGAGTGTAAGAGGGACACAGAGAGCAGAAATCATCAACTGGTACGACATAATAATTACCTTTTTGTAGATTAACCTTTAACCTTAACTGAGAAGTCAGCTAGTAATGGCAAAATACATTTATATCAAGAGTAACAAGTGTAAACCAAGCAAAGATTTGGTGATTTTTAGGACAAAAGATGTCTAGACATTTACAACAAAATTGGGTCAAATACAAAACTGGGTGGAATTAGGTTGAAATTGAATGTTTTTAGACATTTAAGTTGCACATAATTGTTGTTTCAACAGCCTTTAAATTAATATAGTTCAAAATACCAAATAAACCTAGTTTACATCTAGAGATCTGCTGCTTAATGGGGTAGGGCATGAAAGTTCAAGATGCGATTGTGCTGATTTAAAAAGTGTGCATAGGATACAATCTGGATGAACTTGGGATGCATCTCTGCATCTGTAAAATCAAATTTATTTCTATATTATTAGTAGCCTTTATTATTTATTAATGTGACCAATAATTTTGTATTTAGATTGATTCCTCCTCTCTAAACCTTTTCACAAGCAGAAAGAAGACAGAAGTGAAACTATCTGTACCATATTGAATTGTATAGCATCATATTCCTTGCAAAGCATCGTATCGCATTGAATCGCATTGGGTTGAATCAAATGGTCTTGATGCATCACAATAAAGGTGAATTGTAACGTGTTGCATTGGTAGTTGCTTCATATTTGTCTTTAATGTATCGGATCGTTGGCAATGCATGTCACATCTGCCTCAGTGACTGAGAGCACACATAAAGCATACGCTGCAAAAAGCAAAACTATAAAAACATTTTTACAGATTCAACCAAAACTGTTCAATAGTCTGGACGCCCTGTGCCTGCCATTTTTTCACATGGGACTGTGTAATAACAGAGCTTGGATGGAAGAACCAAAGAGACTGAAAGTGCTGTGGGGAAAAAGTAGACCTGTGATGTAAGCAGGTGCAAGACCATGCCGGGCTTTAAGACGAGTTCTAATATTGTGAGTTTGATTTGATAATGGACAGGGAGCTGGTGCAATAAGGTGAAGATCAGGGTAATAAGGTGTCTTTTTTTTTTTACTGTACAGCAGCCTCTTAGTAGAGACAGGAAGTCTGGGAAATCTCAAAATACAGCGACACACATGTATGATAGAGAAGTCATGCATGAGGGAGAGAGAGAGAGAGAGAGGGAGAGAGAGAGAGAGAGAGAGAGAGAGAGAGAGAGAGAGAGAGAGAGAGAAAGTGAGAGAGCATATAGTGTTAAACTGTCAAGTGCCATTTGAGACCAGGTCTCAGATCTTCTCAGTCTGTTTTCGTCTCAGAGGTGACTAACTGTCATCTCTCCTTCCTGTTGCTCTTCCTTCTCCCACAGCTCAGAGGCTCTGCAAAGCCCCAGAGAGCTGTGTAGCCCTAGGAATACCACAGGAATATCACAGCAAGACTCTCCTTCACTCAAATTTTACCAGTTTTTGCTCTGTGTGAGCTTGTTTGAGACTCACCTCCGGAGGCTGAAACTCCAATAGACCACTGACTGGGCTGAGCACCAGAATAGCTATAAAAATAGCAGTACACAACCATGTCAGGCTGTCACTGAATAAATAAAAAATGGCTCTGGATTGGCAGCCCTGGCTTAGCTATAGTGTCCCACTTCATCTGATATGACGGAGGAGTGGAGAGGTGCATCATGTGAAGAAGTGTCATTAAAATCCAATTTGTTTTGTCCGAGCTTTTAAACAAACAAATAATATGGTGACCCCCCCCGCCTTGGGCCAACATCACTGTCCAATTATCAGCATCCTAAATTGTGAAAAATCAAACAAACTCAGACGCAAATGTGATGAAAGACACTCACCCTTCACAGTGAAATCAAGCAAGAATTACAACAAAATTACCTCCTTTTTTGTGTCTAACTCTCGCACTCATACGCTCACATGAGAAGTTGCCCCCCCCGCTCGTTCTCCACTTCCCAGCCGTCTTGTTCTCACCACCTTGGCAGTGCGGCTGTCACACACAGACGTAATTAGCAGTCCTACTGCAGGAGCGTATGGTAATGTGACAGGAAGACGGTGGACATGGTGGTTGCTCACACACTCCTCTCCTCCCACGGGGGAGGACTCTGTGCTGTACCTCCCCTCGGTGGAAAGACTGGTGTGGGTCAAACAGGAAGGGGGTTGCACATACAGATGCTCACTCACGTATGGATTTATGTATGCATGTACAGTATATGTCAGTCTACATTTCTAATGTAAGGCTTGTAGACAAGCTTCCAGTGGTGGAGAATTTACATTTAAGGACCATTTGGAGGTTATGGTACTTACTTGTACTCTACTACATATTAGTGGTAAATATTGTACTTTTTACTCCACCATATTTATATTATGGCCATAATTACTTTGCAAATTGAAGTTTTGCATACAAAGCCACTACCCAGCCGTATATGAATTATTAATTTCATCTCAATCCGCTATGACTTTCAGATAAAGCAGCAGTAGTGAAGAAATACATAATTACATTCAAATTGTCACTTAATAAAAGGTGCCATAATAAAGTAAAAATAATCATTACAGTCATTATGCAGAATAACACCCTTCAGTACTGTATTGGATGACTGTTACTGATGAATTAACATGTAAGCAGTACATTAGTTAGCAGTTTGTATTCCACTTCTATAAAGTTGAGGGATATGCAATACAAGCACAACCAGTGTCCATCTCACACAAATGACTAATGAATAAATAAATACAGAGCACACATTCATAAATAAATAAAAACATCCTGAAACAGATGTTTTTAACTCGTTATAAGGGCGGAGAGACATCTTAATAATAGTTTCGGCCCTGAATGAGACTATTTCTTCCATAGAAAGTAGTTTTGGCGGCTGTGGCCCAGGAGGTAAAGCAGGTTGTCCACTAATGAGAAGGTTGGTGGTTTCTGAAGAGCAGTTAGCACCTCACATGGCAGCCGCTGCCATCAGCGTATGAATGTGTGTGAATGGGTGAACGTGACACGTAGTGTAAAGCGCTTTTAGTGGTCGGAAGACCAGAAAGGCACCATATAGGTAGAGTTCTTGTGGAAACTGAGAATCACAGCATTAAAGAGAATCTAAAGAGGAAAATATTGTTTTAATAGATAATTGTGCTCTATTGTGATAAAGTGAACATTTTATGACCTCATTATGTTTGCAAAAGTGCTAAATTGATCAATTTTCCAGTGTGGAGGGAAACCTTCCTGCTTTTCCAACCCCTTAGATATATTTTAACAATTTATACTTTACAATCGTCACACTCAATACCATAGAATTAGTGGTTTGATTGACTACCTTCCTGAAATTATTGGGCCATGCTGTGAAGCTTGGAGGTGGTCTGGCCATTAATGTGCTTTCATTCCCAGCGATCATGACCTGTTTATGGAGTTTCTGGTTTCTGGATCATGGGGCCAAGAGAGAGCCAGGAGTGAGGATGGGGGGGTGGAGAAAAGAGACACAAGTACAGAAGGACAAATGGAGAAAGCGGGTCAGTCCGGCCACAGAAACAAACCCCCCAAAAAATAACTTTGCACAGTGATCCAATGAGAGACGCCTGACTCAGTGCATCACTTCAGTCTAATATCATAAACAGAGTGTGACCTTAGACTGAGACTGTAACTCCTGAAATATAATCTTCTACTGACAGCTTCAAATTGTTATAAATGATGTTTTACGATTGAATACTCAAGCTCAACAGTTTCTTTGCTTCAAAAAATCCATCATGTGCACATTTAAAAGGCACTTTTGTTCCTGTTTGCTGGCAAACACATAAAGCTGTTGGCTTTGTTTATTCCAGACTTTATCACCATCTACAACCATGATCACTCATTATTTGATGTTTGTAACTGTAATGAACAAAAACTGGCTTGTGAGTGATCAAACATTCATGTATTTTCTCAGAATCAGAGAGATTTAACAATGCTTCACGATAATAGATACGAGTTGTCATCCGTAGTTAAATAATCTGTTCTCTCTCAAAATGATTCACAGCAGCCATCATAAAATGTTTTACCACACCCTCATTATTAAGTACTAAATAGAAAACTGATTTTTACAAAAAGCAATTATGTTCTTTTATATTTCCTGTGAAAATCACTCATTTTTGAGACAGTCCAGTGTGTTGTGAAAGGGTTTTACGTAGGAGTTGGTGAATTCTCAGCACCATAAAGTTACTGGTGCCAGTCTGAATGATCTTCACCACTTCCAGTCAGAGCTACACAGAAGTTATTTTATTGGACTCTCAGCAGACTTTACACAGAGAGTTCAATTTGCCTCCACCAGAGTTCAGGTTTTACTGCCTTGGAACAGCAATATGTGTGTGAGTGCTTTTATTCCATCAGCTACTAGTTTTTTTTATACAACTTCTCTAATTTAGGCTGTTACCTTCATGTGACGGGACATATCAGCTCTGTCTCTTAGAAATAACATTTATATACAACTAATTTCTTACAGTATATATATTTTGAGGGAAACATAATGCAAACCAAATTACATTTTCGATTAACATAATAAGTTGTTAAGGAACCTACCTGGCAATTTGGAAAAATGTTGATACTGAACATATCAATAAAATGTTCACTGACAATATATTTCATATGTTTTGATAAAAAAAAAAAAAGGACAATCTTGCTACTATCCACTCGTAGTGACTACAGTAATATTCAGAAGTCAGATCTTTCTTAATCTTAAAGTGCTTTTGTTGCAGGAGTGTGGATGTGAACCCTGGACGGTGGTGTGACAGTCCTGCACTGTACGCCCACTACACACCCCATCCACTCCTTGTTAGTCCACTGTGTTACATAAATGTGGTGTGTCAAGAAATGTTATCTCTGAACATAATATGAAAGTAATTTCTAGGAGACAGCTGACTTTTGGATTGTTTGGGTGATAATGTCAACCTGTGGATTAATGTGTGTATTTTCTATGTCAGTTGTGGTGGTGCAGATATCTGGGGTCAAATTCCAGAGCCTTATAGCCTTCATATATGCTGAAGACATCAATCTTTAAAACCGATCATATAAACATACTTCTGTTTTAAGAAAAAAAGGCAAAATAGTTTCCTAAAACAGCCGGGCACTGTAGTTTTTAGCAAAACTCAAACCGTAGTGCATTTGTTAGGGACTATTTTTAGCAACGGATTAAATACAGTACATATTTGGTGCTTTAGAGAGTATTTACAGTAACAGGTTGGTGTATGTGTAATGAAGGAACATGTTACCCAGTGCCTCAACCGTGTGACTCACCAATGTGTTTTAACAGTTTTTGAACAACAATGCAGCTCTATGGCACAGAGAAAGGTCAGGTTACACAGACAATACTTGTTACTAAGATCAGTTAATTGTAAGTTTTGGTCTTTTCTCACATTGTTTGGACATGGCTCCTTAGATCCCATCAGACCATTGTGTGTTCCCAACTTTGTGGCAATAGTTTTGGGAAAAGTTTTCCCAGTTTGGTGTGGAAGGTCTTGACTGGTCTGCACAGAGCCCTGACCTCAACCCTGTCCAACACCTTTGGGATAAACACAGACTGCGAGCTGGGCCTTATCACCCAACATCAATGCTCATTAATGCTATTGTGGTTGAATGAGAGCAATTCACAAACACCTTCACAGAAGAGAGGAGCATTTCTTTTGGCGTCCACATATTTTTGGCCATGTAGTGTTTCTGAAAACATAGAAATCACAAAATTTGAGGATATGTGGTTTTCATAGGGCCTGATGTTGATGCCAATTATTGTAATCATTACCATCATAATTGAAAGGCTTATTTATCAGGCAGTGCAATATTGTGCCGAATAAATAAAAGTTTTGTTGTTGTCATTAAAGTTTCTTCTTGTTTCCATTGGCAGTTTTCTCTCTCCTCCCTCCCTTATCTCCTCTCTTTCTCCTCCCTTTGTCTTCTGCTCTACTACTCCCGTGACTCAACATCTGGATGCAGCACCCTCTAATGATCACCAAGCACACTGCAATGACTCATAGCCAGCCAGCCAAGAACACACACACACAAAGACAAAACACACTCAACCTCTCATCTCCAACTCCTCAGAGAGACACGTTGCAATGTTTTTTCTCTTTCCCTCGCAGGCCCTATTGAACAGTCTTTATGCCTTTTCTCAGCCGTTCTTCACGCTCTCTCATTTCCTCCTCTTTGCCTTCGCTTGATGTGTGTGCCGTCTGACAAAAGACACACTTCCTCTCCTCCCTTCAATCTTTTCATCTTTGTCTCATTCCCTCCTTCCTTGTTGTCTGCCATAGAGAGATCACTGAGACAGGAACCATAAATAGGCGGCCCGGGCGGGTGCTGCTTCTTTTTAAACCCGCCATCAAAGATATTCATCATCATCAGGCTATTGATAATCAAGCACTATTGAGCTCTTTTATCCCCTAAGAGAATCATGCACTCACACATACGTCTTTCTCCATCCAATCCACCTGTCCCATTGTGCCAGACACCTCTGACAAGCTTTTTTTCTCCTTGCTGACAACAAAGGAGTGTATAAGAGAAAGAAAGACACTGAGGGGGAGTGTGAGGAGGAGAGCTGAATGAGGCCTTCGACGGGCAGACCTCAGAGGAGAGTGCTTTACTCTTTGTGCTATATAGAGAACTGTCACTCAACACTTTGGGCCCGTCAGACAAACGGTCTGTCGGTAGATAACACCCCATCTGCATGTTTGTCTTTTGCCACCGTTAAGACGAGAGGTTAAATAACTAAGACTGAGCCAGCTGTAATCGGCTCTGCAAATTGCAAACCAAAGATTGCTGATAACTGAGAAACTTTGCCCCAAATATTTTGGAGGCTCAGAGATACTTTACACTGTGGCAGAACACCCCGAGATGAGTATTAAAAGCACATCTGGTGTAAATATGAGCACCTCCATGCCAATTTAAGGTCGAGCAGCGACAGGTAGAGGGAAGAGGGAGGTTACGCAAGGAGCAGGCAGCAAGAGAAAAAAATATAAGGAGGAGTGAATGGTTTGGGTTTTGGGGTGAATGATAAGAGCTGTGGGGGGCTTCAGTCTCCTGAAGGGTCTAATTAACAGTTTAATGGGGTCCTGGAGCTCAGAGAGAGCAGAAAGGAGCACAGGCCTCTTGCTTCCAGCCACAGACTTAATGGATTCAGCCGGCGTACAACAGAGCCGAAAAAACTGGATGTGTCAAGGAGTAAAGGTGATGGAGGGAAGGATGGAGGAATAGAGAGAGTAAAGGGAAATATGGAAAGGAGGTGGAAATGAAGGTGAGAAGTGGACAAAAAGCAAGAAAAATTTGGAAGGGAAATGTAGGAAGTGGGGGAAACAAGAATGACTATCTCACTCGTGAAAAAGGAAAAGGAGACTTATCAGTGAGACAGTAAAACACTGCCTTCAGGCAGCTGTCAGCCAAGCTTCATCGAAGCATCTTTCTCCCCTCTCTGTCTCTTACTCACTCACTCTGCCTTCCCACTCCGCCATCAAAATACAGCAAATCAATCACCCTCCTGCAGCTACAACTCCTCCTGTTTAATACCCATCTATGACGTGACATCTGGCAGATACCTTTTGATTAACAGGAAGCTGATAAATACAACATGCTATAGTTTACAAAATGTTGCCTGGGGGTGGAATCCACCACTCACCCACCGCCACACAGCTACACTATTCAGCTCGGTTTGGATGCTTTTCGTGGTGGATAGGTGTAGGAATGCAACCATTTGGCTGTGTGTGTGTGTGTGTGTGTGTGTGTGTGTGCTCTAATATGTGAGGGTGTTCATTTGCATGTGTGTTTCTATGTGTGAGAGTTACTTCTATAAATAAAAGGTGTTGATGATGGCAGTTAAGCAATTAAAGGAAGGAAGGGAAAACGAGCGGAAAGCACAGAGCATGAGAGGAAGAAGGGATGGAGCCATTTTGCAACTCAAAAGAGAAAAAGTATAGATTAAGAATCCGTCTGGTGTCATCAATCTCCCCTTTACAATCTAACTACACAGCTCACTGCTCTCCATCTCCATTCATCAACCAGATACATGCTAAATCATAGCAGGAAAAACCTGCTGCTCTTCAAGTACGCGGGAATGATTGATTGAAGTGCAGATTGCCCATAGCACTTGTCTCCCCTCGCAAAGTTTCTCTTCCCATAACTCTGACTTTTCCCAGCCAGGGATTAGAGGAGCTGATGAGGGTCGATGGCTGCAGTCATCGCTGATAATTCACCCATCTGTATTGCTCATATCCAAATATTTGCATGCAGCGAGTTGCTTGCCAAAGTAGGCTCCACCGCTCTGACCTACTTAAGTTGTTGTAAGCTGAATGACGCCGGTGTGGAAGAGTTCTGACTAAGACAGGAGGCTGTGAAAAGCAGGGGCTTCTGCTGACAGGGTATTCGTCTTACAATCTTTTTTTTCTTGCTTCCTTAATTGCTCATTATACTGTTTGGGACAAATGTTATATCAACACCTCTGGGACACAACATGCATTTTTTGTGTAATCTATGTGGCATAGCAAGAAGGCAGACTTCTCTAGCTGTGGTTCAAACTCCAGAGTGGAGATGGGCCAGTGCTGAAATGATCGGCTCATTATTACCTTGTATGGTATGACAACTGCAGAGCCGCCACTGATGCCCACGATTGGCAGAGCTGTCTGAGTGGAGAGGAAATCCAGGATCTGTGCCACTTCTGCCACCTGAAGACAAAACAGACAGATTCAGTGTTTGCATGAGAGTTGATTACCATGGTGAAAATGTGTCAAACCAAAAAGGCACTCGAGCCCGAAAGTTCATTCTTGACCTTGGAAACATCCAGCTGATAAATAATCTTACCACAAGGTCCACTCACTAGTTTTCTGGAGCTTTCAATTGTTGTACTTTCAAACCTCAGTCCTTAATGGTAACACTAGCATGTAAATATAAATGTAAACAATCCAGGTTTCAAAATTTTCATGTTTTATGAGGAGGGAAATACGTCTAACACGTTTGTTTGACCTCTACAATATGCAGCTGAGAAGCTGAGAAACACTGAATGTTTACTAGAAAACTCCCTAAGGCACCTTCAAAATGCTCAGGAAAATGATAATCTATAATTGCACAATAACTGGGCAAACTCCATCTACTGGTGAACATCATGAGATACAATCAAAAGCTCCAGAACAGCTACTAAAGGAAAAGAAAAAAAGGTGGACCAGGCGATTTTGCATGTAACAGGTTTGAACTGTATAAATTATGGTGAATTCAAAGCAAACAACATGTTATGTAATGTCACAAATTACTCAGACTTACAGTTCTTATTGGTAGCTGATCCAGGGGTTGAAGTAACAAATACATTTACTCTCGTTACTGTAGCAGAGCAATCTTGTGTAAATCAGTAAAGTGCATTTGTTTCAGGTACTTGAAAGAGTAAAAGTTACTTTTTTTACACCAGTAATTTGAAAGTTAAGTGAAATTTCTTTTTAGTACCAGGATGTTGAGCACTCCCTCCCCTGGAGGCGATTTCGATTTTGCTTTTACGATTTGATGTCACTTCTTCTCCCTTTACGATCTGAAACCATACCGGCACTGTAATTTAATTTGAGTATAGATAGTACATGCTTGGCATCTGAATTAGTCCTTCCTGTTTTTTTGCAGCCCCACTTTGTGATTTAAGCTGACAGGACAGGTGCTTTTTTACATAAAAATTTTACTTTGTGCAGCTTTAGGAAACACAGATGTGGGTGACTGAACACCGTGACTCTTGAGAGGATGTTTTATCAGAAAACCTAAAAATGCATAAATCATTTTTACCTGAGCCCCAGCACCCGAGCCCACATCATCCTCAAACACCACGCCGTGCAGTCTCTCTGTTGCCATAGTATCGCAGAGGCGTGTCAGAAGGTCACGGGGGTTGGTGTCGTTGACCAGCACGGTCACTGGGCTGACCACCACGGGCAGGTCGACAAAGTTTTCCCCGCTGAGGCGACCTCTGACCTCGTTCTGGTAACTGGAGCCGCTGAACACCACCGCCACGTTGATTGACGGGTGGACGAGGAGCGGCCGGGCCTGCAGGGGGAGCGGGGAGGAGATGAGGAGGAGGAGAAAGAGGAGGAGGAGGAGGAGGGGAGGCCAAGGAGAGGGAGGAGGATGTCCCCTGGGAATGGCCATGTTGGCAGCCTACTGCCTGGAGAGGAGGGGGAGAAAAAGAGGGTGAGGGAGGAAGGGAGAATGAAAGGAAAGAGAGCAAGAGTCAAACATACAAGCTGCTTTAGTTTTATGATGATTTTGACATAATTCATCATAATCCATCTGTACATATCCATCCCTTATTTTTCTCTCCATGTCTGTCTCTCTCGCTCTGACCCCTTTGTATGATAGTATTAGCCCTGCATTTAGACTCTTGTGTCATAAGGAAAACTGTGTGTGTGTGTGTGTGTGTGTGTGTGTGTGTGTGTGTCAGCATGTGCAAGTGTGCGTGCATGTAATCCTCCATAATCCAACCCCCAGTGTCATGACTGTAATCACCTTTCCATCTCTACACATCTCTGATTCAGCACACACACACACACACAGGGAGTACAAGCAGGATGCCAAAACTGCCGCACAGGTCCTCGACCCTCATCACTGGGATTACATTACATTACACTACTTCAGCCAGCCATGAAGTCATCGGCCAAGCTACAAATATACAAGATATGAAAAACTGCATAACATCCTCATAAACAAACATGTGGCAGGTGCAAATTAAAACAGTTTTCCTGTTTAATTTGAATTTAAAAAGTTTGTGTTTACTGGATGACAGTTACAGTTTTTACTTCACTATGGTTTATTGGATCTCTGGTTTTGTTTTAGTTTTTACCACACATAAATGAAGGTTTAACACGAGTTTATGGAAACTTAAATATACTGTCCATACACTAGGTCCAACGTGTAGGAAATGTTTTGGCATCTAACGGTGTCGTTGCAGTTTGCACAAGAAAGAAACTGCAGTGGCCGCAAAATGCAACAAAAAACGTGAATGGTCCTATCTAGAGCCAGTGTTTGGTTTGTTCCTTCAGGGCTACTATAGAATGATTTTCAATTAGCACAGAGAGATTTTCCACTTTTAGTAGATGAATGTGAAAACATACTTCTAGAGTCAAATTCTGCACATATTACATAATAAAAAATAGTGAAATGATAAAATTATTGGAGATTGTTGGGTCATTTCCTCTTTTATAATGTGTCACTGACACCTGATTTTTGGTGTGCATTTAACATTCAACTCAAAGTATACCTTCAGAATTTGCATCTTTAGCAAGCTACTTCAATCAAATGTTTGCTTTTTGAAGATATTTCCTTATTGAATCAATATCTTTGAACCCTTGTTAGAGACAGGTGGGCTTATAGAAAATAAAGATCTCCACATACACACACATATTTGGAAGGGGGTTTTATATAGAGTGTCGGTCTCATCTATGGCCATCAGAGACACCCTGATAATTAACAGCACCTCCCAGCTTTGATTCTACTTTCAAAGCAACACTGGGTTAAATGTGTCCTACCCCTTCATGCTCCTGGCATATCAATCATTCATCTTAATGAGGTTTTAAGCTCCTGGGCTTTAGGTGCCCACAGCAATAAATATACAGTTTGAACCTTTTAAAGACAATCTACCTCTTATTAGATGCTGCTGATAGATCAACCTTTAGTCAATACCTGGTTATAGCTGAAATGATGGACATGGAGCAGCCTTTATTAAAGATTACTCTATAGATGTGTGTGTGTTTTTGTTGATGTGATGTTTGGTTAGACAGTTCAAAGACATTTTGATTATGTTTGCATTTGCAAAAGGTGTTGCACGTTTTCTTTTGTGAAACTGAATTACGTATTAGAAGTATATGGAGCAGTTTCATCTGCATATAGTGACATTTTTGAAATGTTGTTGTATCAAGTCTATATAGACAGGTGTTTATTGGAGGTTACACATAAAATCACTCAAAATCTGACATATGATCTATTCCCCTGGGAGTTTATGCAGATTGTATAGACTGCAGAAGGCTGTCTTACACTTCTTCTCTTGTAATTCCTGGGATTGCTTGTTTTGATGCACTGAGATCCCTTTATTTGTCTCCAGTGAATCATTATATCTAGATGTGAGCACAGAGCCGCCGTTAACCCACCACCCACTTGTGCTAGGTGGAGATTAAAAACAAACAAACCCCCCACGCAGCAAAACTCTGAAAGGAACGGGTTCTAAGTGGCATACAGGAGACAAACCCCATCCAATTGTGGTTTAAATAATAAAATTTGTACTATAGAGATATCAACATTTATGTACAGCTAAAGAACAGGTAACACATATAATCCTCAGCCGACTCTTTTATTTATCAACCATAGCCGTGCATATGGCTAATTTTACATTGCATTAAATTAATACTGTATACAGAGACAACTGGATGTCCCTTGGGTTGTGAGATGTTGTTGCTTGCTACATTATTAAAGTCTGTGGATCTTCATATTCTGAGATAGATTTATAAACAAGCTGCAAATATTCAGAGTAATTACAGTGTCTGCTATCCGGAGGTATCTAAAAATGAAGATTATGTGGAGATTGTTGGATATTGGTAAACACTGACATTTTATGTCTAGGTTTCTTTTTAATTATGTGGTTTAAGCAACAATAAGTATATGCATGTAAAATCACACTCCTCACTGCTACACTACCACAAATCCTTTATGAAGTATAATTTGTTGACTCAAATCCTTTTGTGAATTACTGCTTTTCTTGTGTTATTTGTTCTTCAGAATTCAAGCTCACTGCATTTGCAAACAGTAGTATACAAATGACACTAATGCAGGAAAAATAATGAGTTTTAACTAGGGATGCACTGATTGGAAAATTGGGAAACCAACTTTTAAAATAACAATTTGGCCCATAGCAGATGCCAGTACAGATGTTCTGTTGTTGTTATTTATTCACCCTTTTGTGAAGGGAAACAAAGAAATTTACAATTATAAAGATCTCCCTCTTGTTGCAGCTCATTCAAGATGTGAGACACAAAGCTGAACGGCCTCTCAGCTCTGCGTCTGATAATTATGATTATTTCTTCAATATCCAAGTTGGAAAAAGCCAACACAACATTTAAACTGATGTAACACAACAGATAAACATCGGCCACTGATATCGGTGAACGCCATTTGCAGATAGGCTGATGATGTTCAGCCAATATATCTGTGCATCCCTTGTTTTAAGTCCATACAATCAGTGGCCAGGGATAAGTAATAGTTTTAGAAGTAATCATATAACTGCAAATATAAAACTTAAAGGAACAGAGCTGTGGAGGGAAAGGGTAATCGTGGAAACAGGATGAAAGAGACAGAGAGAGAGAGAGAATAGACGAGCGCTCACTGGGTGGATCATATGACTAGAGAGCAGGTCAAGTTGTGGTAACAGTGTAATCTCTGGAAAAACGCACTATAACAGGGCCTCAGATTAGCAGTGTGAGTATGTACGTGTGTGTTTGTGGTGGGGGTGGTGGTTAGGAAGTTGACAGGGTGTGTGGGTGTGTCTGCTCCAGATTAGCAGCAATAAAAAAAGAGTGTGTTTATGGCATAGAAAGGATGTGAACAAAAGGGACAGAGCACAATGTGTTGCATCTGAATTTCAATCGCACACCAACAACACACACACACACACACACAGAACAATCACCTGAGAATCTTCTTATCTTTTTAACAGAATTTAAAAAATGTAATAAATGGAAAGTGTTTCAGCCAAAGAGGGATTAATAGGAAAACACCAGACTCTTTATTATCAAAAATTGCATAATCACATTAAATCCTGTTGTGTTTGTGCACTTATTTTCCAAAATAATATTAACGTGTGCAAATCAAGTGAGTGAGCATTGTAGTGTATGCACCCAGTTTTCTATTATTATGGAGATTTCCAGATGGAGTGCAGCTCATGCCATGTGTGATAAACTCTCTCAATGGGACCCATAAGACTGTACCTGTGTCAGCATCAAAATGACTACACACACCACAAATTCCTCCTACGGTGTGTTATTAATGAAAACTAACCGCACAGCTGCAGTGATACATTTTGGAAGACTTGATAGGACACGAGAGAAGAACACAACAGGATTACTGTGTGACAGTGCTGGAAAATGAGGAAAAACCTATAACATCAGAAGAGTGTACAGCCAGTCACACTTCATCATCAACCCACAGTATCAAGGCTCCTCTCTCTACCTAAGAGTCGGAACTCTCACATTTGTTTTACAGCTCTCACAAAGATTTATGGATGATTTATTGAATGATAAAAACAAACTTTAATATTATACAAATTGCTATATAAGCATGTCATTGCTTTTTAGGTGTGTTTCTTGAATAATACTTCATATTGTTCTTCTAATAAATTACCAAATAAAACATCCTAAAAATTCTAAATCATTCTTTAATTGAACTCTTAACTTCTATGCTCATGCAAGCTGTAGCAGGCCCTAATTTAAGTGTTTATGAACCAGTTAATCTCTCACTTTCAGGCATATAAAACGAGGGTACACATAAGATGCTTTTTTATTTATTTATCGGTACTTATTTCTGTCTTTGTGCTCCTGCAACACCCACACTTCCCTTCTGGGGATCAATAAAGGCTTATCTTATTTTATTCCTTAATAACAAAGGGGAATAAACTAACACTATTATATGATATATATGCTATAAAAATGAAGCATGTTTTTCAAAGCTTTTTATTCAGTAGTATTTAATATTGTTTTGTCTCCTAGCCGCCAGACAGTTTATCAAATAAAACATCCTAAAAATTCAAAACCATTCTTCCATTTGACTGTTCCCTGTTCATGAAACCTGTAGCAGGCCTTTAATTAAAGTATTCACGAGGCAACAGAAAGCTGGGATCAACTGCTTGAAAGTAGGCACTGAAAGAAGTAAAAACAAAATGTTTGTTCATTGTTTCATTTACCTCATTTGCTTGAACACATTTGCCCATTTAGAAATTACATTTTCACACACAGACCTGAACTGAAAAGTCCATGCATGGACAAAATTATACATTTTGTTTGCAGAGTGCCCTAACACTCCATAAAATAACAGAAGTTATGGTCAAATGGCTATATTATTTCATCATTATACAATGGACAACAAAATGCAAACAAGTCAGAGCATGAATTGTATTGTTTTTCCAATATGATTATTTTACTAGATAACAACCTCTGCTGTACTCTGCACCTGTCCTTTTCTTACACATTTTTGGGATGCTCTGTTGAAATACTGTAAAAGAAAGTCTAAGAAAGTTTTCTTTGTTCATTTTATTCTTGTGTGAAGTCTTTCTGTGCCCATGAACTGTCATTGACATGTACGACCTACAGTACGCACCTAGACTTGACAAATCCAGACATTCATTATGGCACAGCTTTAGTACTGCATTGTCTTCACCAAAAAACCAATAAAGCTTTTTCACCCAATACTCAGAAACAAACATTTTTATTGTTGTGTATTGGCCTCTTTGATCTATGCTTGCAAATAGCAACACAATATGTTTTATAGATGGATAAGAACTCATTGCTGATTGGAAGAACGTGTTAAACCAATATAAAATTGTATTAGAAACTCATTTGTAATAGAAGACTTCTGCTGTGCGCCTACATTCATTAATCATGTCTTAGCAATCGAGAAGAACTGTAAAATGTTTCACCTACAGGTGTCCAAAATGAGAAATAATATGATTTTTCCTCTTTCATAACAATGGGGGAAAAGACCGACATTGTGATTTTCGAATAAACAGTACCATTATGTACATTATACCTCCTGGGACCTGCAGCACATATACAGTTGTGAACTTCCAGTCATTTAACTACTTAGCTGGGATATGATGGAGTCCCTGTACTGAGTCCCCTGGGGGGTGGAGAGGAAATGAGCAGAGAGGATCTAGTTGATGGGATGAGCATCGTCACCAGAGAATTATCAACATGTCTGCCTTGAATCTTGTTTTTTCACAGCACCTTCGAAACTGATTTGATTGCATTAATTAGGGAGCTTGAATTAGTGGCCTAGTATTAATGTAGTAGACGGGCTTCCTCTCATCAACATACTGCAGGCGCGGCTCTCTGACAGCTGCATGAAACATCAGGATTCTCTAGAGCCTCATTTATGCAGCCTCCAGATCAGTCCAAGAAATTCCAGTGTGAAAACATATTCCCGGCAAGGATTTCCTTTCCTGATACTGGTATTCCTAATGAATGTTTGAGCTTAAGTATGTCAATTGCAAGAAGGACTTCTTTGTGGTTTGCTGTGATGACTGGAAGCTATACTCTTAAAGCACTAGCAGCAAATATTTGCATCTTAATTGTTGTGGAGTATAAGTATAAAGTAGCAGAAATGGAAAATATGTATCATGTAATTATGAGTACTTCAATATTGTACAGTACACTGCTTGAGTAAATGTACATCATTACTTTACATCAGCTATAATGCAGCAATACTGATGTAGGAAAAAAGTATATTTGGATTTTACATGGTTGTATCTTCTTCTACTTTGCTTCAATCTTATACTCTAATAAGCATAATTTTCCACTAAAAAGGTCTGATAAGCAGTTTATGCTACCTGCTCAGTACCAAACAGCAGACAGACAGAGTTAGCGACTAGCTGGTGAACACAGTGGAGCTAAAAGAAGAGTCAATGTTCAACTTATATTCATCAGGTCATCAGAAATATGACCCCATATTAATGCTATATCGCTCCGTATCTGCTGGATGTCTAAATAAGCAACTGTTTTAACTTTGCCTTAGAAGTTCCGCTGCCCCCAAGTGGCCACAGAAAATACTGAGAGACAAACTAATTGTTGACTTTGGTGTTTTCATTAGATTTGTTGACAAAAAGAAAATATAAGAGTAGCCTTATCCTTTAACACTCGCCTGATATTGAGTTTTTTTCTTCTGATATGTTAATTTCCAGCACTCACCAACTACATCTGTAGTTTTTTTTTTTAGGCCTTTTATTGGCTTTAATTGATAGTGACAGCTGAAGATAGACAGGAAGGGGCAGTAGAGACACAGAGAGAGGGGATGACACGCGGCAAAGGGCCGCAGGTCTGACTCGAACCCTGGGCCGCTGTAGCAACTCGGTACATGATCGCCAGCTCTACCAGTTGAGCTAACTGGGCGCCCACATCTCCAGTTTTCAAATGCCAATTCAGTCTGTTGATACAATATCTTATTAGTTAGAAATTCTTTATTATAATAACCCCTTGAGATAAACTATCCTGTTTTCAAGGGTGTCCTCAGCGACAGAAAGTACACAACTAAACAAAAAAACAACCAAAAGTGACATGATATTAGTTTGCATTATAATCTTCCTAACTTTATGAGTAACGACAGCACTCTATAAGACATCACTACATAGATTAAGGCTACATTATCTTGTGCTTGTCAACATGTGATTACAAAAATGTAAAGAATTGGTTAAAAATTCAATAGATGAGTGAGTGTACTAGGAAATCCCACTTGGGATTAATGAGACTCACCCTCTTCTGAAGGCCTCATTAAAACAGTTACATTAATAGTAATGAACATGACAGTAAACACACCACCGAGCCTCAACCAAGAGCAACCACTCTGTCAGCGTCAACCAGCTCAACTGCTCCCCCCCGTTTCCCCCTCTGCTCATCCCTCCATCTCTCCTTCTTAAGCATGAATTGTGGAGGACAAGTTGATTTGTGTCCATGCTCATATATGCACACATGCCCCAACCCCACACACACACACACACACACACACACACTCACAGCTAATAAACATACAAATTAAACCCACAATGTGAATAAATGAGTGTGTCATGCTTAACCCCTGAGCTTATTATGAAACATATCACATAACGTCTGCAACATAAATTTATCATAATTAGGGTTTTAACAGCTAACATTGCAACTCCATCTCCCTGTGGGTTTCTGCTCTCACACGTAAAGACTTGACAGCTTTACAGGAAATCGTTGCAGGCCGGACGTATCAGCCCGAGATGAGTGACGCTGGCGGGGCAGGGGCATTTCTGGATCGGCTTGGCCCCTACCAGTCAAACGTAAAGCAATCAAAATATCTGTCACACCCAATCTGCTGCCACACCTGCTTAAAACAGACGCTGAAACACTTGCAGAAACATATAACATAAAATGGCATAAGTGTGCATTCAGTCGCACATTCACACACATATTCCTGATTGTCTGCGTTAGTAGTAACCACCCTTTATTTGTTTGTGACCCTTTAACACCAATCAGTGTCTTCTTTAAACCTGTTATCACAGGTGCAGTGTGTACATGAGCTGTAAACTACATTTTTCAGTTTTTTTCATTTGAAAGATTTTTCGAAGCTTGAAGAGATAAAAGTATTCAATTTGTTTTTTTAAAGCAAAAATGTAATGTAATATAGAAATATGTTTTTATTTGAATAATCTCTTGATTTATCTTGGTGTCCCTCTAGACCCCCATGTTGGCAATCACTGCTCTATCTAACTGTGAACTGTGCAGCTAAAACAAACATGATGTTGCAACCTGATATGTAAATTTAAATATTATATGTATTTATTTTTATTTCATAAAAAAACCTTAAATAAATACTCTAAGTACTATAAAATAAATACTATTTTTGCAAGAGAATTAGTTTTTTTACTAGTTGCTTTTTAAATCACCTTCTGACCCCTCAGCTTTATCATGGGACCCCTTGGAGCCCCCTCTGGGTTGGGAACCACAGTTCTGTGCAGCTAAACACATACTGCAGCAGCTTGCAGTCTTAGAAAGGAAGCCTCTAAGGTAAAAGTTTGCAGTCTTTTCACAAAAAAAAGAATTAGAGAAAAATCTATTTAATTTTGTGTAAAATAAATGTTTTTTCTTCTGTTCTGTCTTTTTAATAATCTTGAGGCCCCTTAGATTTATCTTAGAGCCAAAAACCCCATGTTGGCAGCCCCCCCAGCAGCTGAAAGAAACTGTGGTACATCAGTTTACAGCCTTAGAGGATGGGTAGAAGAAAAGAAAAATATGCTTTTTTCTTTTAATATCCCCTTTAATAATTTTGTGGCCCCTCAGATTTATCTTATGAGCCCTTGATGGGGCCCTGAACCTCAGGTTGGGAACCACTGGTTTTCTATGTTACTGTGAACTATGCAGCTGAAATAAACATGATATATGTAAACTGGAGCAGAAAGGAGCTTCTGTCACTAATGGAGAAAAATGAGAGCTGCTACATTCAGCTTATGGGACAAATCAATGAGCATTACCAGATAACTGATACGACAGTAAAACACTGCAACTGTAACATCCATAATCCATAAGTAAATGAGTCATACTGAGTAAGTGCAGGTGTGAAAGGACTGCACACACACACACACACACACACACACACACACACACACACACACACAAATTCACACACTCCAAACAAGCAGCTAACCACCAAAGCTCAGAGTGAAAAATGCTAATATGTTCTCTTACAGTAGTTCCTCTTATAGTAACAACTGGCTGTCCTGTTTCTGTCAGCAGCAGATGGGAGCCTTCTCTCGAGGAAACTCTTCACTTATGAAAACTGAAAGTCTGACTGCACACTCGTACTGTGTGTCTACCAAGCTTCTTATTCTAGTATCTATCTATCTATCTATTGCTCCATATCTGTCCCCCTCACTTATATATAAAGTATGAATTCCTGACAGTGGATCAGATTAGGTGACAGAATAAGAGTGTGAGGGAGAGTGTGACAGACTTACCTGTGCTTTCTGCCGTCATCCAACTTGAACTCCCGCTGCTCCATCGTTCCCCTGGCTGCTTCCCTCCAAATGTCTTTTCTCTCTATTTCTGTTTCTTTCCTTTTCACTCAGTTTTCACCTGCCTCTCTCCCCTCTCAGCACCTGTAGGAGTACGCATTTATACCAAGTCTCTGTGTGAGAGCGAGTGAGTTGTCTGTGTGTGTGTTAGTGCGTTTGGCAGCTTTGGATGTCTGCACACTCCCCTGGAGGACTTCACAACGTGACAGCAAGCGTATGTGATCTCCCTGCTTCTCCAGAAAAATCTTTCTTTTCAACTCCTCACTCTCTTCGCCCCTTCTCTCACTTCTCTCTTTTTCTGCGCGTGTCACAGTGAACACATTTACAAGTGGTCATGAAGGTGAAGACAGGACATCAAAATGGGAAAGGAGAGGAAAGGAAAGTGAGGGAAAAGCAGGGTGACAGAAGACGAGAGGTGCGGGAGCCCCTAGATGAGCAGCCAGCCACTGTTTGTGTGTGTTTTGCGTGCATGTGTGCATAAACCCACTGTGTTTAGCTCTCCGTCTGCATCCCTCAGGCTCCCCGCTGGTCGGATGAGGAGAGGAGCGAAAGGGGGGGAGGAAGAGTGATAAAATGCCTCTTCAGCGGAGGAGCACAAACGCCGGTAACACTTCAGCAGCAGCGGCGGTGACGCTTCCCCGCCGTCTCCTCCTTTCTCCCCCTCTCCACCTCCTCTGTCTCCTTTTCCCTCTCCCTGCTCAGGGGTAAGAGACAGAACAGATCCATGGGAAGTTAGAAAAATCTCACAGACAGATGAGGAAAGGGTCCTGTGCACGCCTCTGCATGTTTGGAGGAAAAGTTTTCCCCTCCTTAGGTCCAGTTATCAGCCCCCCCGTAGGTGGTGGTATTCCGCAGTAAGGGATCCCCCCGGTGATGATGAGCCTTCTCGGGTCCTGTGTGATCAAAAAGGATGAGAGTAAGATTTGGGTTTTCTGGCCCCCCTTGCCCTTTTTCCCATATGGAAGCGAGGTGATCCAGATGTTGGTTGCTGGTGGCAGCGTCAGGAACACGGAGAGAACAGCGGGACAGATGGCAGGTCTGCGGGGTCGGGCCGGCTGTGCACTAGCAGGTCCTCATCCTGTTGCACTGATTTGTCTTTTTCTTTTTTTTTTTCCACCAGAGTTTCTCTCTCTCCCTCACCGTTGCGCTGCCGCTCATCTGCCGGTGCTGTCACACCAGTAATCCTGCTTTCCATTTCCTCTTTAACTCCATCTTTTCTTTATCTCTTTCTATCTCCTCTCACTCCATCACAGGAGGGGCTGCATGTGAGTCCTGATAATAATGGTGTGAGGATTTAGCCTGCCTCCCTTCCTCTCCTCCCTCTCGCTCACTTCAGCGCAACCCCTCCTCCTCTCCCAGCCCACTTTTGCTCCCGTTTTCTCGGTATTATTCACCTTCATCCTGTCACGTATCCTGCCTTCTTTTCCTTAAATCACCTCACTGTTTTGCTCTACTGTTTAATTCCCTCTCTCTGCCTTTTTTCTTTCTCTATCCCTTTCACCATCAGCTGTTCCAAAATGAATCCCATTAATAGCATTGTTTTTCCACTCAGGACCCCCCCAGGCTCTGTCCGTTGTTTATCAGTGTGAATCCATTTTTTATACAGTCAATAAACCAACAAACATCACGTTCACCTTGGAACATTGACAGAAAACAAACAAGCCAGTAGCCTAACCGAGAGACAAAGCAAATATTGCAATGAACTTACTGAAACAATCAGTCCAATAAAGGGGAATTCCACCAATTTTACACCTGAAGTGCACTTTACTCATCACAAGGAGTACTACTCAGCCTGTAGAAACAGTCGTATAATGTTTTCGGTGGCTGCGGAGGAGGTTTTTAAAGTGTCAGAAAATAAATCTCAGCTTTGCCTCGCAGACTTTGAATTTTTAACAGAAAGCTTGCGTTACAAACTGGAGACATGGAATCTGAAAAATGTGCCACCAGGCATTGGGGGGGAGTGTTCAAACAGAAAATGAAGTAAATTTCTGCCTTGTGTTGTTTGCTTGAAGCTGACCACAGGACTGTTTATATAGTCTGTGTTTGTTTGGGCAAATCACCTTATGTACTACTGTGTATTTCTATCATCTGACTGCTGCTCATTTTCTACATTTTCTCACTGCTCTCAACTTCTTTTTCTATTTTTCTATTAAACTGAGGAATCACTGATGACAGCTGACTTCAAAAAACTCACTTGCACTTTAATCAAACACTAATAAACCAATTTATAAGCAAGTACAGCTATACAGTGTACTATTGTAACTATTGTCTACATAAATGACACATACAGCATAAATGATTAATGAATATAATATAATAAAGACATTTACGTTAGTTGAATATGAGCACTATTGTTGCTCTAATGTGTAATTAATTGTGTTAATTAACTTGGCGATCGTTAATCAATTAGCACTCGAAATCGAAACCAATTTCACCCAAAACTTTTTTTTGTCACTTCCACAGTTACAAACTCGTTTTATTAAAAATATTATTTAATTCCACAATTAAAGTTCAGGTGTAAAATGACTTATTGACGTTAATATTACCTTTCTGCCGTCTCTCTCCCTTTTCCTCTTGTGTCAGTCATGAAGTACATTCATTAAGTCAATTTGCATTATGGGAAATGTAGGAAATGTAGGATTTGTAGGTTTTCCAACTTTGTGAAGCTGCAATAATGAGTCATCCTCTTTATTATTTATGTTAATTGGAAAAACAATTAAGAACCATTATGATAATTTATTCATCTTTAAGCTATTTTTAAAGCAACAATGCCAAACATTCACCAAATATAAGAATTTGCTTTCATGTGAAATCAATATTTTTGGTTTTGACAATACATACATTTATTTATTTACATTAAAACATTAAATAGATAAAAACAAGCAAGTCAAACCAAGGGGTGTCGGAAATTGAGAGATTGTAGCACATTGTGAGATGTGGTAAATGGACCTTTAGGACTGTGTGACTGATATTAATGAAAATATCAGATATGTACTGTAAGTTTAGCTTTAGTTTTTAATTTTTTTTAATTATTAGCATATTCATAAATATTTAGTGTTCCCTGCTGGAAACTGGCCGCATTTGCTTGTGTTTTATTTATTTTGACCTTTTTTTTTTTTCTAAATAGAGTCAATCAATAAAGAAAACAATCTTTGGTTGCAGCCGCAAAGTCAAGCCCACTAACATCGCATTTACCTTGGATTATCGACTGGGTAAACACACAAGCCAGTAAAACCAAAGAGACAAAGCAAATATGACAATGAACCTGGAGGTGCTATACACATACAAATGTGTCTATCAGTATTGTCTGCTGCCCGTCTCATGTATGGATCAAAGTGCTCATTGTGGAGGCAATCGCCTGCCTGCGAGGATAAGAACAAAAATCAGTCCGTTGTAATCTTCACTCCTTTCGTTCTGCAGAAAGAAAGCACACGTTTTTTTTAAGTAATGTTGACTGGAATCGTGTTGACATGCATAAGGGTGTGTGCTGAGAGGAGAAAGTAGAGAGTAATGCTGAGTGTGAGAGAGAGAGAGAGTGAGAGAGAGAGAGAGAGAGAAATGTCTGATTGCCTCTCACTTTTTTTCCCTCTCTTCATGGCTTACTTCTGACAGTAATTTCGTGGAGGAGAGACAAACAATTTCGCTTTGCTCTCCTCCCCTCTTTCACTCACATTGTCGGACGGGTGTTTCATATTTTTAAAGAGTGCTGTCTTTCGCAGGTTACCATCTCTCCTAATAAAAGCTGATTTCTTCTTTCTCCTCACTATGCAGCTTGGTCAGGTGACAGGCCTTTTAACACAGTGCTATAAATACAGACGAGTGTTAAAATAGAGTGTTTGAGATGTGAGACGTGTGACTGAGGCGTCTATATCTGTATGGGATGTGTGTAGTAGATACAGTGATACCTCTGATGAATGGAAACAGACAATAGCGGACAGATGTTTCAAAGGATAGTATCTCTTTCAGCAGCTGGAGAGTGTGTAAACCAGGCAACATATGTTCTCCGGCCAGCAGCCGATCAGATCCACAGATTAACTCTGATTGATTCAGCGAGAAACAAAATTATGTTTACTGGGAAAAGCTTGCTGGCTGACAGGCAAATAATTAATTTGACAATTTTGAGTGTTGTCAAGGAAGATTTATGGTATACATGTCTTGTGAGATGTGAATTTGTTGAGAACCAATGCTGGTTGTCTGAGATTGTCACGGATACACTGTATGTATGTGCAGCACACAATGCATAGTATTAATATCTGAGGTTGTCACATGTAGCAATGAAACAGTTAGTTGAACAACAGATAATTAATTCGTTTGATGAACAATAATCTTTTAAAAGAAAATACCATGCAATGACATTTGCAGGTTCCAGCTCCTCAAATGTGATGATTTCCTGCTTTTCAGTGTATATTTAAAAATATTTTTGGTTTTGGATTGTTGGATGGACAAAAGAGACAATTTGAAGATGTCACCTTGGGATTTAGGAAGTTGCGATTTTGCCATTTTTCATTATTTTATGACATTTCAAGAATGTCTTTACAACAGTCGTTTTAACAAATTGCCCAAAAACTACAAAAAAATGTTTTTATGTTGAATGGATAAAAGACCTCCTGCAGCAATAGGAACGTTTGGGAGCCGTTTGGAGGTCAGAAGGACAAGCATTGGACTTTGACTTTTTGCATACAGTTTCCTACCAACCTGATATCAAGCCAAAGCATATAATACGCACACCAGTCCACTATGGCAGTGTCACGCTATAAACACATGTTGTCACTCTTTAAACTACTGCTGTTACTGCACCTTAATACTTGTGTGTACTGTACACATCTAGGCAACACACTGACATGGTATCCTCTAGTGGATCAACTGGTCCTACAGTCAACATTAGTTTATTTTAACCATGAGCACGATTGCTATTACAAAAATAATCTAATCATATGTTAAACACATGGCAAAGGAATCAGCACCATGGACAGCACTTCACGCTGTGGCCAAGAAAAAAAGCCTAAGGCAAGACAACATTCCCCGAAGGGCTAAGCATGTTTGGTGAATCATCCTCCCAGATGACAACTCTGTTATTGTGGCAGAGGTCAGACTGTTTTTAAGGTTAGTTGTGCAACTTGTTTACCCATGGCTTCTCCCTTAAATAGCAGAATGTACATTTAGTAAATAGAGGCAAGCCTGCGAGCCAGCTAAGTCAGCTCAAGTTGTGCTGCTATGTCCACTTTCTGCAACATGTATCCAATGCATACTTCACCATACAGGTGTCTATTCAAAGAAATGCATTCCACTCTCATATCTGTACGGTAAATGTGAAGCATACTTAAACCGTGTGGCCCTTGTAAGCCTTTTTTAATCTGCCAGAGCTATGGTTAAGCTTTGGTGAAGGTACAAAACCTCCTAAAGGTGTGTGAAACATTTTGGTTTAGTTCTTGTCAGGCAAACAAGGTCATTTCGGGGGAATTTGAACAAGCAACTGATGCTGTTGTTTTTCTTCTGCTCTGCCAACGTTGCCACTATTTCATTGCTTCATCTCTGCTGCTTAGCTTTTAATCAGCCCCACCTCCACCCAGCATCCACCTGTACACTCTGACTCCAGTCTTCTGGGGGAATCTGTCTGCTATCATCACTCCCCAATCTCTCTCTGTGCAGGCTTACATCCATGCAGCAGGGAGTGATGAGGTCAGAACCAAGAGGCCCAACGTGAACTATACTGCTGTGCTGTATTCTCATATCAATAAGCTTTTTCTGACTGAACAGTGTATAAACAGACAGAAATAACCTTACAAATTGAGTTCAACCTCAAGCGAGGAAGCTAAGGGGCCACAGTTTATCACAATAAAAAATTTAGACTATAAACTGGTGCAAAGTGTTTTAGTGGGTAATCACACTACATCAATGAAAAGTAGGACAAAAAAAAAAATACAAGAAGAAACAGGCAAAAAGAACAAAACAAGATGAGGGATAAATTGTCCTTTAGGTTAAATGAAGCTACGCCTTTTAAAGAAATTCAAAGACATTATTATAATACTATTATACCCAAACCGCTAAAGCCTGGTCCCTCTTGGGCTTTAAGCTCTAAAACTGACAGTGAAGACAAGCAATGATACGGATCCATCTATGAGTTAGATAAAAGCCTCGCAGGGATGAAATGGCCTCGATAGGATGGAGTGCAGACAGTTAGAATAGTCTACAATTAAAGATAAAAGCATAGATAACCTTCTGAAGTGCAGCCTAACAACACAACCCCTGATATTAGATATGTTCTACAGCTAAAAAAAGACTGATCAACCATCTTGACCTGAGTAAT